GGCGAGTAGGCGGTCGGCGCGGATTATGTAGCTCGGTGTCCGCAACAGTTTGCATTACAAACCAGCACAATAAGGCATTTTTCTAGGATTTTAGACAATTTCCGCGAAAGAATGACACAAACATACCACACAACGCCAAACTGGCGGACTGAATTCAGGCAGGTCTTACGAGACCTATAATTGGCACGCGTCTGACGCTCACTAACCGCTTCTACTGTATTTATTGTTCTGTGGTCGATTCGGTAGCCCTGGGCATGCGATGGGATCACGGTGCGATTCCCGTTACGACCAATTTAGAAACAAACTTTTCCAAACATTGGAAATGAAACTATTTTTCCGGATTTAAATTTCCAAACATTTTTTTATGATATCAAGTAACACCTGTGACACCAGGACTCCAGAGCTTTAAATCGCAAAAATCTTAAGGGCACTGCGCCCGTCACCCTGATATATAAGTTAACAAGTCCCATATATCTGTAATTTCACCAACATCCGGAACTACTACACTACCGGAACGCAGTAATGCTCACGTTACTACTTGGCGGGACGAACAAGTCGCGTCTGGTGTAAGGGTAAGCGTGCTGGTGAAATTACAGGCACATGACACTTATCAACTTATGTCTCAAGGCGATGGGCGCAGTGGCAGTGCCCCTCAGATCTTTGCGATTTAAAGCTCAGTTGGCACTACAACTGTTATGGACAGTCTTGTAGCTTACCGTCAGGCGCACGACTCGTTCGTCCCGTCACTTGTTATTATAAATAAAACAATTTGACAGATAAACTGCAATACCTGAATAACCTGAGATTCACTCTGTAAAGACCTGTAACCTTAAAAATCTGATGACACATTGGAAGCGGCCATTATATTATTACTTGTCTTTCTACACTTTCATATTGACTAAAAGCACAAACATAAAACAACTTCATCTTGCTTTAATCTTTTTTCAACGCCTCGTTTACTGTTTTTTATATGTAAAAAAAGTGTTATTTGAAACGTTGTTGATCTTTATTTCGAGTGTAGTAAAGTTCATGAATATGTTGGCTTTATTTTTAATGTGAGTTTTATAATTGATTCAAACGATCTTGATACTAAACAGTTTTATTTCAGTTTTCTAATACGTAATATTTTGTTATTATTAGCCTCGGGATACTTATCACGGGCTTGGTATTAAGCAGGGGTCTGTACTTTTTAAAATCAAATCTATATTTATTTCATTAATTTCTTCTCTATTAAAATTAATTTCTTTTTGTTATTGTAATTAGCCGAATTCATAAATTGAATATAAAGGTAGGAACGATTTACTATTAAATTTCTTCACTCTTATTTACCTTCCTTTAAAAGTCGTCAATCAACTGACTGGCCTGTGAGACACGCGTTTTGCAGGAAGTAGTTTTTTTTTGCTCAGAGTTATTTCCCGTCAATTAGCCAGCACGTCTTCTCTATTGACTTCAAGCGGCAACAACATTTGATGCAATAAATAGGTTATTAGACTTTCGAATTTGAACATCGTCTATGTTACTTCTATGACAGCTGTCATTAATAATTGGAAATATTTTAGACATTTTGTTTTAGTTTTTAGCACTTAGTTTTAAATTTCATGCAGAGATAAATATCACTGTCACTGAATTAATCATCATTGACTTAATTTTCCAAATGTAGGTTCATGAGATTGTTAACTTTTACTGGTTTCGAATAATCTACAATATTTTGTTGCTTTACCATAAAAATACTATGACACGGTGTGTAATGCAATGCAGTTACAACTGCGGACAGAAATTTTTAATTCATAATATATGTAATTTTCGCAATTAATGAAATTAATACAACTAACAAGTGGCATTAAGAAGGAAACCACGCAAAGACCTCAATTTACGTTTTATATTTATAATAATTAGAAAGTTCAAAAATATTCCAAGTATCAAATCGTCTCTGGCGTGCTACAAAATTTTCTTGCGTCATACAGAAGTGTCGATTCGGAATGTTCTATTTTTGAATCTCTTGAGAACTACTCTCCAGCGAAGACATGCGAGTGTATAAAAATTAATGGCGCATGCACATTGCTGGCTATGCAAGAAAGGTTTGAATTACATTTTTTGTGTATTTACATACATTGATTGATATTTACAATTCAGCTAAATTTGAAACTTGTTTCTGAATGAGATCCCTTTTTACTTTCAAGCGTAATATCGAGCAATTAAAGCTGAAAATATAATTTGTACACTTTCTTTTAGTTACAACTTTAGTAAGTTTAGGTATAATCATAGATTGTTACAATTATTTCTAGCAAGTCTGTTTTTTGTGCCTACTCAAAAGTTACGAGATTTTCGAATTTAGCCAACGACATACATGGTTACTCATTCAAAACAAAAAAGTATGTAATTGCTAACATCATAAAAATTATCAAGTGGCATTTTGAGAAAGTTGGTCTCATATATACATACGGGAGGAAGGGGGACAGCTCGTATTTAGACAGCTACTATGGTACGTTTTGGTTTGTCTCAGAATTCTCTTTTAAAAATGTTTCTTTTCTTTTTTTTAACAAGCAACAAAGAGACGACGATATCCCCATTCATAGACATTACAAGCCGTGACCATACATTGCACCTTTTTGTTGCGTTTTTATAGATTTTTAATTTATCAAATCGAAATGTCTCTCAGTATTATTATTTAAACAACAAAATGGCCGACCATTAATTTTATAAACAAATTTTGTTACAAAGGTAAACGGTAATGTATTAAAAACATTTGTAATTTTCCTAATTTAAAAATACCGCCATCTCTTCAACCAGCCACATGTTTGTCTTGTAGTCGTAAAGTTACGGCATTTTTTACTTTATTATTATACCAATAAAGAATTAGAAATGGTAATGCAGTATTGGTAATATGATAAAAAGAATATCGTTACCATGTTACTGGATCATTGCGGTGTTATGTTACAATGAAGTAGGACAAATGTTGAGTTTTTAATTTATTTCTCTTTAAAAAAAAAATTGGCAAGCAATTTCAGTGTTCATGACGGTGAATTTTTAGTGACACAATTTTTTCCAAGTTGTTTACTTTTTAGTATTAATGAGTGGCTTTTTAGTGATACTTGTGTGTTAGTTCCCAGAATGCTAAGGTATTATCTTTGGATTATTATTAATTCCAATACATAAGCCGTGGTAGCCCATTGGTTTGGACTAGCGCTTCTTTAAGGCCGTGGGTTCGATTCCGGTCTCGCACCTCTGAATTTATGTGGGAAATTTAAGTTGAAATTTACTATGAGCTTCGTGATGAGACCTGCACATCGAAGGTTCACAACACTCGGAAAACATGTGAAGTCCCTTACCTGCATTGCGTCAGCGTGGCGGAGTATGACCTAAAACATTTCCCAAACTGGTCCCTAACCCACCCACCAGGCCCACCTAGTGGGCGTTAAAGAATCCTAGGGGGTTCTGTTTTTATATACTTATTATCAAGTGAAGGGAAGGCTGGTGTGCCTGGTGGGTAAGCTACACGCCTGTCCATTGCAGTTGGAATGCCAATCAGAGCTTTAAATCGCAAAGATCTGAAGGGCCATGCCACTGCGCCCGTCACCCTGCGATATAAGTTGACAAGTCCCACGAGCCTGTAATTTCACCAGCACCTTTACCCTCCAAAAACCGCAACGCAGTAATGCTAACATTACTGCTTGGCGGCAGAAATAAGTAAGGTGGCAGTACATCCCTGGACCAACTCTTTGACAAGGAGCTCTACTGCTAATACTCGACACTGATAGCAGTTTTTTTAAGTAATTGGACTTTATCTTGACCATTACCTAACCGTGGAGGAAAGACTTATATTTCCTAGTTTTCGAGTATCTTTCCGAGTTTGTTCAACGAACAAACTCGCCCAAAAGATGCCTGTTCAGTCGCACCTGCCTTAACTTAACTAGCTGCGTGGCCGAATGGTTACCATGCTGGACTGCCACGCAGAGGTCCCAAGTTCGATTCCCGGGCCGAGAGAAATACTTGTAAGGCCTACATTTATTTCCCCCGTGAGTTTGAGTGTAATTTGTAGTTGTCTATGCGTGTGTCCATGGCACCCGCGATACAAGGTTTTCGTGTGTTGAGTGTGTGCGTTATTATTATTATTGTTACCTTACCTAAAGATAAATAAGAAAGATAGTTGTATGTGCTCGAAACACAGTCACTGGCAGAGAATTCCATTCCTGGACTGTGCGCATAATAAAAGATGACGAAAAGAGCTTAGTACGCCTGAAGAGAATATCGAGCAATTAGAGATGATATCCCACCGTAGGTCTGGATGTCCGATGATAAAAGGGAGCGGGCGGAATGAGCTGATGGAGCTCATGAACACACTCACCAAATTAAACATATTTTGTGGAAAACCGGCAGATAGGCAACGTTGTGTTCGGTAGCAATTGGGGGGTGTTGATGCTATCCAGGGGATGCTACAACATTTGGAAAAAAACCTGAATTATCTATATAAACTACACTACAAATATATGTATATATATATATATATATATATACATATATTTGTAGTGTATATACATATATTTGTAGTGTATACATGTATATATATATATATATATATATATACATATATTGTGATTTTTTTGTTAAGTTAATATAAAAAATACATGTATTAATTATTTTTTGTGATGTTGGGCGTTGAAACTTTTTATCGTTCCTAAATGAGCCAAAAAATATGGGAACCTATGGCCTAAACTCTCACCTGAGAGGAGACCCGTGCACAACAGTGGGACGTATAAAAGGGTTGATGATAATGATGTTAAATACATTTATGAGAGCGGTAAGTAGGCAATTAAGAACAGAGGCACATTCAAAATCTTTAAATGGCACGAACGTTTGCAATTAATGCTTTCTCCGTGTGTCATACAATGTTTTGCAAATTCATTACACTTGTGAGGAAGTTCCAAAAAGGAAAATTAAACTTAAAAATGCTTTAGCGTATTCAAATTGTATTTGTAATTTTTAGGTTTTTATGGAATGTCACTTTGTTTCACCATTATACTCAATTAATTTGGTTTAATGAATTTATGTATTTGTTTATTTATTGCCAATTAAGCCAACATGATGCATGTACAATAATACCAAAATGTACAATACGTTACTAAGTTAGAGGTAGATCTACACCGTACTTATTGGCTGTCACTGCAAGCTATACAGATTCTGAATATGAAAATAATTATTCAATTGAATCTCTCTTGAAACTCTTTATTTATTATATATAACTCCTATTTTCTTTACAGTTAAAAAGAGAAAGGTTAAAATAATATAATCCCTACATTAAAATAAGAATTTTTTAATACAGTTGCTCAAAACGTGGTATTTTTATGTACTACAAATCGTGTCGAAAGTTGGATTTTTCGCACTAGGGCTTTTTACTTTCCAATTTTTTTAAATTTACTGTTGTTTCAAGTCCTAAACATAGAACTAACGACGTTGTATATTTATTTAATATTTATGTGCTTTGTGACGTAAGTCATTCGTCATTAAAACTTATATTTACTTACAAACATCTTATTTGTTTATATTGCATAGGTGTTTTATAAAACAACGGGTTACATTTGAAAATACCAAAATATTTTCCATAAAAATGGCTGATTGCGTATTAACAATGACCGGAAGTGAGTATTACGCTTAGACTATTTATTTTTGTCCATCCTCTAAGGTATTAGGCGACACCGCTGTGCGCTGCGCCACTAAAATACTAATTATTTTACTTTCAATGTAGTTTTTTAAAAAAACGTCGTTTGATATACGTGCGGAATTGTCATTTTCCCTTGTCGCGAGTCTCGAGACTAGTGAATAATGACAAATTTTTCGCACTTGTATAAAAAATAACTATAAATAAACGATATGGTACAAAACAGATAATTCAGAATTTGAACAATTCGCAAGGTCCGTTCCGTGACACGGTTTGCTAAAAGACGCTTGTTCGAATCCAACAGGATTAGTATTCGACCTTTGTATTAATAACATAATAATCTAGTGGAGTAATTTTACAAAAATGATTGAATATCATGGTCAAACAATTTTATAGTCACGATTAAAAAAAACTTAAAAATTAACATCAATTTGTTTTTTTTGACGAATTTGTAATAAAAATAAATATTAGAAAAGCAGGTGGTCTACGTAAGGAAAAATTTGCACATGGTCTACCAAAGAAACAAGTTTGGGTACCTCTGGCTTAGACCCTCTACCCCACTACTTAGGGAAGAACTTTGCAAAGCAATGGGACGTACATGGCTAAAAAGATACCGTTTTGTAATTATTACAATTTGTATGCAGATTCAAGGCGAAAGGCATGGACGTCGGCGTCTCCGACGAATACCTGAACGGGGTGCCTGTCGAAGCTAGCTCCAGCGAACCTGAGGAAGAAGAAGACGGTAAGTGATAGTCCATTAACTACAGACCTTTGTTCGATTTTAAGAAGAAAAAGCACCCCATTTTTACTGCACGACGTCGTCGCCTGTATTAGAAAGTTTTTAAATTTTTTGTTTTTAATTTTGAGCTATGTAGCAACATGTTGGCCCTCATGTTTTGCCAGATGCACAAAGATGATACAAAAATTCCACCCCTATGTCGTGGATATTCCAAGATTCGCAAATCAATATGGCAAACGGCTATGTAGTGTAATTCCCTGCATTTTCAAGGCCAGAGTAAATAGGCATTATTATTAGGCACTTCCCATCAAGTGAGATGGAGTTTATCATAAAAAAGAGGTATAAATAAACTAGGAAACTCAATGATCTTATATAAAAGGTTGCACTCACACGTACACATGCTCACACACATCTCACGCACTCGATCTCTCACATATTTTTTTCTCTCTTTTTTCAATTTATATAAATTGTTTCCATGGACTTATAAATAAATACTAATCAGAGCTTCTGGAGGTGGAGGCCTGGTGATCTAAAACACAGGATTTCCTAGTTTAGGCTCCGGCCTCTTCAAATTTTCCACTATATACCACTTGTCATTTCAATTATTGTTACAAATTTATGGAGAATATAAAGAATTTACTTACATACTTATACAAGATCACAGAGAAAGCCACTTTGCTACAAACATAAAGGTTTAAACTACAACTGCTCTCTTTTTGCGTACGTGTTTAAAAATAGATTATGTTCAGTCTTATTTGGGTCAATAAAAACTTGTTTTATTCTATGACCATAAATTTCAAAAAAAATGACACAGTCGTTGACATCTACATTCTTGAAATTCGTTCTGACACCACCGTCGAAAAATCAGCATGTTAGAAGGTATTGCTAAATTATAAAAGTGCTTTTGTTAAAATTATCCATAAAAAATGTCGATAAGATAATAAAAATTCCGCAGTAAATAATAAATAATCCAATAATGATTATTTTTTAAATATAATGTGTTTATTATTATTATATAGAAAGAAAATTATTGATGGCTTGCAAAAAAATACTAAAAATTGTAATATATGGCGCAAGTTTCGCGATATTCTTAACGGAATTAATTTTCATTTATTTTTTTTACAAATTAAATATTTTCCGAATGGAATCGCTCATGATGCTCGCACAAAAATAAAGGAGACAGTTCATTTAAAAACAAATATAGGACGTAGGCTTCCACCATCACTAGTTACGCCATCCAATGAGGATGGGCCAAAATGACGTCATGTAATTAATTTAAAATTCAAGATTTTTCATTGGATAAAATGGTTTGTCTTCTTTATGTTAATGGCATTCTCTTCCCGTTGTGGAAGTGTCATGTATTGTCCTGACTTATAAACAACGTCCGACTCCTGCGCATGGGCAGTAATACAGCGAAGTCATAGTATCTACATCACTAAAAATTCACTAAATTGAAATTATGCATTATAATTCTCCTTTAACTTCGACGAAGCAAAAATGGCGAGTCTAGCATGTTTTTCGTATTTACAAAATTAATTTTCTGTACATTTAAAGCAAGAATTTAAATTAACTTTTTGAGTTTTGAGTTCACTTCGTAATTTCTTGGTTTGAAATAAAATAAAAAAGACATTTATTTCTCCACAAAACAGAAATCAAGCATTATAAACTAATATAAAATACAATTAAGTAATATGGACAAAAAGGTTAAAGACTCTGCATTGCTGATTTTCATTCTTCACCTGTAGCTGTTCGCTTGCTGCACTAGGCTGATGTGTGGAGTGTGCACCGGTGGCGTCCAAATAACTCGATTCCCACTGGCTTGCCTAAAATTTTCTTAGTATTATCAAAAGACGTATTATCTAGTACACTAGACAGCGCGTATACCTCACCGTTTTTAAAACTTATATCCAAAATTTCAACATATTCAATAATAAACGCGTAGGTACTAACGTGTACTTGCTACTAATGTTTTTAGTAGAAGTAGAGCTCCTTGTGTAAGAGTTGGTCCAGAGAAAGTTCTCCCACCTTACATATTTCTGCCGCCAAGCAGTGATGTCAGCATTATTGTGTTCCGGTTTTGCAGGGTAAGGGTGCTGGTGAAATTACAAGCACATAGGACTGGTCAACTTGTGTCTCAGGGTGACGGACCCAGTGGTAGTTCCCCTAAGATCTTTGCGATTTAAAGACCTGAGTGGCACTGCAACTGTTATGGATAGGCATGTCGCTTACCACCAGGTGCACGACTTGTCCGTCCCGCCATTTGGTATTATAAAAAAAATACGCAGTGCTATGACTTGCCGATTTATCCCAGCCAATCACAGCGCGCGCTCCGAGTCAAACCGGCTACTTTCCGGCTTCTTTATGTAATATGTTAAAGTTTAAAAATATGCACACCAAGACGCTTCCGACTCTAACTGGGTGCAGCGAGTGTGTGCTCAAGCTGTTAGCACTATCGAACTCATCATCTTTTTACATTTGATTACAGATGACGACTCAGTGCTTCGGAAGTCATATAAGCACACGTCTACGAAAGAGCAGCCGGTAGCCTTCAGCAACATGAGCGAAATTGTCGGCAAGTTCGAAAAGGGCCAGGATTCGAATTCGGAAAGGCATCGCGAGAGGAAACAGGAGATACAGAATATAAGGAGCAGATTGTTTATGGTAAGTTTTGATATCGTCCTGCCTTCACAGGATTATAAGAGCCACATGTGATCATAAGTTGAAAATCAAATCATATAAATGATACAAAGCTTATGAAACAAATTAGTCAAATGGGGGTAAGGGTCTCGCCACACTGAAACAGTAGAGGCGCGCAGCGGCCGGAAGACCCGGCTTGGTGCCTCTTTGAACTAGTCGCTACAAGATTCGCACGGTCTCGCGGCTGCTCGCGGTGCCGCATTGTACATTCTATCACTTGAAATCAATTAAACCTTTGTCCTTCATAAGTTAAAGATTCGAAATGCTATACTACAAAGGTAGTAATAGGGGTTAAAGTATGAAATTGCCGATTTGTACTGAAAATCTAAATTGTTTATTTTTTAAAGTTAAGTTAAGTTAAGTTAAAGTTAAGTATTGAATTCACTGAAATGAATATAACACGTGACTTTAGCATGGAAATGATAAATTAAATAGTAAAATAATGAAATAGATTGTGGTTGTTCATCTAACTGCTATCTAGGATTTTATAATACTATGTTTGAGTTTTGCCGGATAAAACTGAGAAATAAAGTCATTTCAGTGAATCCAAAAGTTTAAAACGCTCCCCTGTAAACTTGGCAATTTCGACATACGATACTTTACGTAGGAGGGGTTAACATACTTTGATAAAAACAAATACTGTGAGAATTAACAAAATTTTATGTATGACAATAGTTTGTGCTGAAATGGCCCTGACTCATAGTCCATTTCTTTAGGTATCTTGATACATCTTTTTGTTGAAACATACTTTACAAATCAATAGGTATAAAAAAGGGCATGCAACTTCATATGAAGCTAAGTATTTGTATTTTGTATTAGAAGGTAAGTAAAAATAATTTTATAAATGTATATTTCATTAAATAGACATGTCAAGATTGCTTACATTTAACTAAATGTAAACAATCTGGAGATGTCTACTTACTTAAGTACCTAAACAAATGGACTATAGCATAAATACTGTAGACCGTTAAAAGTCAAACAGAGCTGATTTTCTGCCAGTACCATGTGGTGAGCGATTGCAACCCAGTAAGCCACGCCACCAAAGTGCATCACACGCAAATACATATAATTAACTCTACATTATGTATCAAGTAAAAATGTACCTAATAACATCTTACTTACCCTTACCCCGTCTTTTGGAGGAGAGAAACGTTAGCACAATCTGCACGTTTTCGGCAGGTATGAATTGAGCGTAATAATTGTTTAAAAATGTAAAGCTGATAAACAATGGCAAGTTTAGCAAGTACTTCAAAATTCTTGTAAGACTTTATCTATTCTTCCTAGGGCTCAAATCTTTTTAACAGTAACCTATCACAAACTCGGATTTCGTTTTTCCGAAGTAACGTTTGTTCGAATGGTCATTACACCGAAAACCGAATTATAACGAAACCGTTGTTCTTTCAGGATATGTTGGATGTTTTACGATTTAGTTAGGTTCGGTTAGGTTAAATTAGGTTTAAAAGAAAAAACATTTTCCTCTCAAAATCACTTTCGAGGTTATGAAAATTCTAGCAAAAGTCATTTGTGGTAAATGTCATTTGGGGCTACTGATAGTTAACCCCTTTTAACTCATAATGGTAAAGACAACTGTTCACAGTTCACTACACTGGCTTTCAAGACCTTGTCTACCGTGGTTTTAAAGCAGTTGTCGTCAGCATCATGCCGTTATACGTCCCACTTCTAGGCACGGATCTCTCCGCCAATGAGAGATTTGGATCGTGTTAATAATTTTTTTTTAATCATTTTGTAATTACAGGGCAAGCAAGCCAAGATCAAAGAGATGTACGAACAATCCGTTCTGCAAAGTGAGCAAGGTAAGTAGCAAAACCTGACTGCAGTGAAATAACAGTTGTGGTACCACTCAAAGCTTTTAATATCAAAGATCTGAGGAGAATTGCCACTACACTCGTCACCTTGAAACAAAGTTGACAAGTCCCATGTATCTGTAGCTTCACTAGCACCTTTCAAAAGCGAAACGCAATAATGCTGACAACACTGCTTGGCGACAGAAACAGATATGGTGGCAGTACTTGACGAACTATTGCACAGCGAGTACTAATGTTACTATGTATGTAAGAGAGGACTCTTGCTCCTACCCCAGCCTTTCCCACCTCTTTGACTCAACCAGGAAGAAAAATAAACAATGAAAGTGCTTTAAGCCTCGATTACCGTCAGAATCGATGTCGCCAAAGCTGAGAATATCATAATTTTAAAAAGAATGAAATCTTGATAATGACTGGTCATAGTTTCTTATTTAAAAAGAAGTATCAAATTCTGGACTGTCAATATAATTTAAACTACCATGTTAGCATATCGTTGAAAGTACAATACCTATTATTGCAAGTTATGTTTTGTTTTAATATTGAATGTACTGCCATCTAGCGGTCACTAACTGAACAACGACGAACGATTAAATGTTCTACGAGTAGCGTGAAATATTCGACATGTTTACTTAGCTCTCCAAAAAAGAAGCAACCATATTGCAACCGTATAAGTTTTTTTTGTTTTTTATAACAAAAAAAGAATATTACGATAAACAAAAAAAATATATATATTATATTAAATAAAATAAGGCTTCACGATGATATGAGACATCACCATGGATAACATTATAGATATATCTTTATATAAACTTATTTATTGTTCCGAGCTCTGAGCGATTGCATTATTTCAGGCATAACATCAGCTGAAAAGATAGCACGCGAATTAGATCTGGACGCGGAGAAGGCGCGCGCCATCAAAGAGCGGTTCGAGACTGGAGAGGTGTTCAACGACGAGAATCAGCCCCCAAAGAATCGGGAGATCGAAGACCGTTCGCTGTTTAACGAGGGTACTGTGACTAACATTATAAATATATAACCAGACACATTCAAAACTGACACACTTCTAAAATTGCAAACATGGGAGTAAAACAGGGAAGTTTATATTTTCGAATAAATATTCTATCGATCATTAGTCAAATATGATATAACCTAACTTCAGACTGAATGAGATTTCCATGAATTTACTAATTTTTTACCAAATTTTATTACTAATTGTATTTTTCTGCGCGCGCCTTTAACAAAACTAAAAATAAAATTAGAAGTATATCACATTGGTACTCCGCAAACCCAGTGAAGCTTATTGTTAGTTGCGACATCTAGTGAACTGTATTACTAACACTGCGGCGCGTACCATATCATAATGATGTGTTAGTGTTGTGTACTGTCGTGAACCACGCCCTGAAAACTAGATGGCGCTAGTTTAGTAATTATTATTTCATATTTGGGAACGCCTAGAGGGCGTCCCACCTGTCTTAGATAGCGGTGCAATAGTTTAAAATTCTACTTTTTCACAAACATTATACCTACAAATCTGCCAATGGAGTAGTTTGCTTTTATTGTGATACTTTAGCCCATCGAGTATATAACCAGAAATAGAGACGAAATACGGGCCATATATTCCTGGTAACACATTAGCGATACTGCTCTTATAAATATCAACTCTCGTTTGCACTGAAATATAGACAGGCCAACTACTGACCTGTGTGTACGTCTCAGTGTATTCAAAAAACATTCTGTATTTATTGTAATAAAGATAATATCTCTAACAATGCCGTGCTGTTCTATTCAATGGTGTGGGAAAAACAGCAAAACATCTAGTTACAAAACAAGCGGAATCACATTTCATCGGTAATGAAATATTAAATATGTAATTTTGCAATTTTCGTCCATTATAGCAAAGCTCAAGTTAACTGGTCGATTTGAAGTGAATCAGTTGACGACACCCATTGAGGACACCGGTTAATTGTTTCGAACTCGGGCTGGCCAATCGGAGAGTGGTTGTCACAGTAATGATATGGCAGAATAGTTTTCAAACAAACGACATTTCGTCTCTATTTCTGGTTACATACTCGATGCTTTAGCCGGACATTTGCACTTGTGTTGTATATTTTATCATATGGTTAATTTCGAACAATTGGCCACGTCTTTGCGAATATTTCTGTATTTATGAAGACGGCAGTCGAACAGCGCGTCAACTGCGCCGCCATCTGCAAGGCGAAATAGTTTGCGTAGGCGGCAATCGATCCTCTGTAAAGACCATTACGCTGACAATAAAGGTATCAAACATCAACTGGTCTGCAACAATGTAATTGCCGACCTTGTTAGACACGGAAGGAATAAACCAATGGGAGTGCCTGGGCCTCGCTTACTAACTTACTATCAGAACCGCAGTCCCCAAAACTCGCATTGATAATTTGAAACGCTATGAAATCTTGATAATGATTGGTCGTATTTACTAATTTAAAAAAAAAACAACGAATTCTGGACTGTAAATAATAATTTGAACTTTACCTTTGAAATTTCAATACCTATTATTGCAAGTTGCAACGTTTTGATTTTATATTGTAATTTCATTCAATGTACTGCCCTCTAGCAGTTAATAGCTGAACGATGACGAATACGAGATGTTTACTTAATTGTCCAAAAAAGAAGCGTCCATATTGCAACGGTACATGGTTTACTTTCGTTTCTTGTAACAATAAAAAAATATTACGGTAAACAGAAAATTGAAAATTTATTAAAATTTTATTTAAAATAAACCTTAACGATGATATGAAACACCGCCATGGATAATATCACTATCAATGTTTGCACTCCAAAGTAGCAAAATAATGCATTTTTCTACGATTTTCCGAGTTTTTGCGCGAAATTATTGGCCACAATGTACAAAGCGAAAATGGAAGACTGAACTTAAGTATGTGGAACTTCGCGTACAGTTGGCACACGTGCCACGCAAACTAAGCACTTCTACTGTATTTATTGTTCTTAAACAATAATACTATATTCCACATATGTTGCTTTTCCAGGCATTGGAAAGAAATCGCGATCAATCTTCCTGGAACTGGATGCTAATGCTAAAAATTTGACGATGTCGCCCACCTCGCCGCCGCCACAGCAGCCGCCTAAGAGGAAAGAGATTGTAAGTAATATTATCTCTTACAACAGTGCATCTGTTTACTTGTTGTAGATCTATTTTTATTATATACTAGCCTGAACCTATGAGCTGTTCTACAAGTCTGGTTGCCTCGTATAGATTTTAATTCTATAATATTAATATTGTTCGTTTTTAATGTTTAAGTTTACTCAATGTCAGAATGTTTTACCAGAATGGTATTCTTTTATATTTTGTGAAATTACTCCACTAGTTTGTTATAATTATTAATACAAAGATCGAACACTGAGGAAAAAACCTTAGATCCATTTGAATTCGAACCAATGTGTTCCATCAAATCTATTTCTTCATTCAGCCAGGTACCTATACAGCTATCAACAGCTGACTAGAAAAGATCTGCTCTTTTGTGTTGAGGTCGTACGTAAATCATTAATAATATTAGTCTAATATTAATACAAAGAAAAATGCCTTCGATCTGACGGGACATAATATTCATTAAAATCAAAATTACAATTCATAAGGCGACATCTCTTGTCAGCCTCTGGAGTGAAAAAACTTTCATAGTTTTCTCATAGGTGGCGCTACAAAGCCATTAAAACCAATAAAAATCAGAGATATTATTATTTGGAAATTTGTAAGGTGTTCTGACTCGATCTGTGGCTCAGTTGGTAGAGCAGTTGCCATAGATTGGTATACAGGCGCGGATTTGCTTCCATCTTTGTACTAATAATTATAACAAACCAATGGAGTCATTCCACAAGAAATAAATTAATATCGTGGTGGTAAAATATCATGATATTCAAGATATAAAGTTAATATAGATTTCTCACAGATGGCGCTACATTTTGTGAAAAATTTGTAAAGTCCGCTACCGCTTATTCGTACCGTGGCTTGGTTGGCGAAGCGTCTGACACGGTTTACTGGATGGCGTTGGTTCGAATTCAGTCGAATCGAGATTTTTTCTAAGTGTATTAATAATTATAACAGACTAGTGGATTACTTTCACCAAAATAATTAAATGTCATGGTGGTCAAACGTAAAATTAATAGTAATTATTCTTATTCAGCCATTCGTTCCAAAAGACGTCGTCCGCGCCGAGGACAAAGTGGAGGACGTCCGGATCGAAACTGCGGATATATCAGACCGGTTTCGCTTCTTCGAGACGTACAAGCCGGAGGCCACACGCAAGGAGTTCCGCATGACGCCGCCTAGGCAGATTCAGGTGCTTTAGTTCAATAGTTCATAATTCATTTATTTGTGAATAAGTAGTTTAATTGGTTTTTTAAATAGCATAAGGGCGCATTTATTCAACACGAATTTAATCGCGCTAAGCCCACGCGGTCGCCGCGCGGTTGTATTATTCAGAGGAATTTAAACGTTGTTGCCTAGTAAATAGAATTCAGATTCGCAATTAATGTACATGAAGGCGTGGTAACTGGGCGCTCAGGCTTTTCTCAGACCCGAGTACTTTCAGTTAATTATTTAAATTTACATTACAAAAATACTTTTATGCATGAAGTTACTTTTTCAAGCTTTCAAACAAAGTTGGTCATAACGACTTGGCTTTAAAGTTCCTGATGGTGCATTCGAACGTATACGGCAGTATCATAGATGTAAAGTGATGAAACAGTCAGTATTCGAAGGTCTTTAAATATAAATAATAAAAATATGTGTTGCAGCTATCTGTTATCTTCAATCGACAAATTGCTCCAATATAAGTACTAATATCTGGTTTCTTGAGGTCAAATTATGTGAAAGATTGTTTCTTTCTCAACCATTCCGGGTGGTTCAATATTCATAGTAACCAATTGAAACTTGAATGATCCTGTTTAAGACATAGTTTGACTGGTGTGTGCTAGTGGAAAGGCGTGACTAAAATAGCTATTTTGTGGCATCATCGCAGCGCCCGAAATCTCCCTCGCCGGAAGTGTACCACGACCCCTGCGTGGTACGCAGCGCGGAACCGGCCGTGGACACAAGCTTCGCGGCCGACCGCCACACGGCCTCCAGGATGATCTCCGTCTTCAGGCAGATGGAGGAAAAGCAGCATAAGCCCGAGGAAACTCATGGTACGTGCTGCTGTCCAGTAACTAAAACGCGGCTTAGTGATAATTGCTCAAATATCCGTTTTCAATAGCATAAGTTAGAGTTCAAAATTTTCTATTTGAAAACAATTAGTTAACGTGTATATCGACCCCTCCCACGTAAATATAGTATCGTACGTCAAAATTGCCAAGTTTGCAGGGGAGCCTTTTAAAGTTCTGAATTCACTGAAATAAGCATAACACGTTACTTTAGATTTCTCACTTTTATTCGGCAAATCTCGTTGAGTATCATAAAATCCTAGATATCGGTTAGATGATCTATTAGATGATCACTCTATGTGAGTAACAAGCCTTGCCGAATGAAACGGAGAACTTTAAAACACTCCCATGTAAACTTGGCAATTTCGACATACGATACTTTACGTAGGAGGCGTCGATATATCGGAACTTACCTTAAAATAGAATACCCTAAACAATATCAGTATAATATTACTGAGTGAAGAACTAGATTTCTCACAGATGGCGACAACAAGCACATACAAATATTCGTAAGGTCCGCTATTTCGTTCCGTGGCTTAGTTGGCATAGTGTCTGGCACGGTTTGCTGGAAGACGTTGGTTCGAATCCAGCTGGATCAAAGGAATTTTTCTACGTGTTCGATTTTTGCATATATCCCGCCCGCGTTTTAGTTAGAGACATGCTGGTTCTGTTCAATAGATGGCGCCATGTGTGATATAAATCGAGATTGCTAAAAAAATATTATGTCCGTCATAATTCCGTCTTTTGCAGGTCCCAAACCCCTGAAGCGCTTCACTCCCCCTCCCCCCGGCGAGACCAACCACCGCGGTGATTCTTCCGAGGAGGAGTATTCCTCTGAAGAGGAATACGAAGAGGACAGTGAGGACGAACGCAGAAGGCTCTATATCGAAGCTAGAGAGAGGGACGAGGCTCTTAAACAGGTGCATAGTAGTAAAATAAGTTTTAAAAGATAGCAGTAATCACAGGTTCCCAAACTTTTTAGCTCACCGCACGCTTAGGCAAGATAAAAAAAGTTTCAGCGCCTTGGCGTTGAGATGTCTTCACGCATTAACTGTCATGTAGTGGAAACCGACGTCATACAGCCGTGACCGACTGCATGCAATCAATCTGTTACCAACCTTACTTGGATTACGTATTAAATTTGCTTACCGCAAATTTGAATGTAATAACGACCTCCGTGGCGAAGAGCTTGCATACCAATTTTCATGTCTGAGGTGCCGGGTGGTCCCATGGCACTCGCGATACAGGTTTTACCTAGAGCAGGGCTATGTGTGAGTGCGTTAAAAACAAAAGAAAAAGATGCTTGACATTTTTAAAATATCATGCCTTTTTAAATGTAAATAACAGATTTCAACTTCTTACATACATTTAAATTTACTCAGGTGACAAATAAAGTTTGAAACTTAAAACGATACGAAGAAACGATTTGCCCGATTTTTAATTGCATAAATAATTTTTAATCAATCAAACATTGTTTCGGCTTAAGGCATTTAAATTCGGGAGTGTTTAACTTATTTCTTTATTAAAGCAAATTATTGTTTTGAACCCAGGCACAGCAGCTGGCACGCACCAAAAGCTTCCGCGACCGCTTCGAGAACTGGTCCGAGTCTGAACAGAGGGAGCCTCGACAGAACGTCGTCATCGATCGGCAGTACGAAGACGATGACGGCGAGTCGCAGCTTGAGACAGCCAAGAGGTAATCCACCAGCTAGCTAGCAATTACCTACCTACTACTATGTAGCTCTGGCACAGAGGTTCCCAAAGTTTTTTATTTTGTAGACCCCCTGCCTTTTTAATGTGTTCTAATCAGGGATCGGAATAGCGATACTGCGGACATTGGATTTTTTTCACGATTGTCCTAATTAAATATTGTCATATCACATTTTGCCATAAGTATAATAGTTTAGTAGGAAAAAAAATAAAATGTGTATTTTTTATATGGACTATACCTTTACTACCCCATCGTTACAAAGTCTTAGTCGATCCTGTCTTGGAATGACTACAGACGTATTATTAGACCTATCTTCTATAGACTTGCACACTAAACGCGCGCCCAAACAAACAAAGCGTTACTGCATTCCGGTTTTAAGGGGTAAGGTGCTGGTGAAATTACAGCCTCGTTAGTCCTGTCACTTGGCATAATAAAAAAAATCATTTATCCTACCGAATATATCCCCATATCTTCTTGGCTGTGAAATGTTGACTTTGTAGGTAATTTATACGTCTAGTATAAGAAACATACATGATATTACATGGTATTATCTGTGTAATATGGATTATTCAATTTATGGAGTGCCAAGATTTTGGTCACGACCTGCCTCATTTTGTTTATTTACAATCAGGTTGCATTGACCCTAAATACATACTTTGGAGACTTTCCTTCATAATATTGTAAGAAAACACTAATTTCTTTAAACGTATGGGCTGCGGCGTGCGACGCAACGCGGGCCTCGAAAATGTTTGTTTTTTTTTTCTTCGGCCAAAATTCTTCGTTCATAAAGGTTGACAGATGTTACTCTCGTCACAAATGAATTAAAATCTCATTGTGGTGGCACCCGAACCGCTCGACCCCGCAGGGTAGCATTGGCTTTCACTCTTTTTTTAACCGACTTCAAAAAAGGAGGAGGTTCTCAATTCGACTGTATGTTCTTTTTTTTGTATGTATGTTACGCGATAACTCCGGTATTTGTGAACCGATTTTCATGATTCATTTTTTGTTGGAAAGGGGGTACTTCCATAGTCGTCCCATTTCATTTTGAAGAAAATCATCCACCTTTAAGGGTGGCTGTTCACGCATGAAGATTCATTTTTATAAATAGCGCCTAACTTTAATTTAGGAGCAATTATTTTAATGGTTGATTTTGCTATTTCTCCAATTCAAGGCGTTTTTCTCTAAATATACTTTAAGTAGTGAGAACCGATTATTATTATCTCCAATGTCCTGTATAGTGGCGAACTGGGGGATATTTCAATAAAACTTAGCAAATAGACGTAATTCCACGTACTTTGGAGGTCGGTTTTTTTAGTACTCTGTACTGAGATTATTTGCCTTGTAAATTAGAGTGGCGTCTTAGGGCGTGTGTCCACTTTAAGAAAAGTCGCCGGGTCTATGCAAGAATTCGTGTCGTTTCTACCTTACCTATTTCTGCCGCCAAGCAGTAACGTTAGCATTATTGTTCCGGTTTTAAAGGGTAAGGGTGCTGGTGAAGTTACAGGCACATGGGACTTGTCAACTTATGTCTCAGGGTCACGGGCGCAGAGGTAGTGCTGCTCAGATCTCTTTTTTTTTTTTTTTTATTAGGTTCACAAAACTGGATACAATTCAGATAGAAGCTAAGTGATTTCTTAGGCTAATGACATGATGAGAATGTATCCTACTAGATGTGAACACAACATGCAAGACGGGTCAGATTAAATAACTATAAAGACATTACGTTACAAAATAATTAACACTAAATTAAATTAATAAAATCTATAAAAGACATTTTCTAATTGAATTCCTAGCCGAGACCACAGAACCAGAAAAAATGTCAAATTCAAATCTGATACCGTTGTAAGAAGAGCACATGCGATACAGCGGATCTTTGCAATTTAAAGCTCTGAGTGGCACTGTAATTGTCAAGGACTATAGCTACCTATATCCTTATATCCGTGCGCCTGATGGTAGCTTACCATCAGGTGCACGACTTGTTCGTCCCGTCACTTGATATTATAAAAAAAAACGACACTGCGTCGGCGCCGGACAAGAAAAAAATCTTGCCTATGTATGGGGCAAGATGAGGTGCATTGTCAGTAAACGAATGTTTATGCGCGTGGACGGGTGTTGCTTAGCAGTCAACATATACAAGAACATATTTCTTCCCACAGTCGGTAGTAAAATGACAGCTACCTGGAAGACTCGTTATATATATATATATATATATATATACACTGACACATTTTACCCTACATACGTCTCTCCGAAAGCAGTCGTATCGTGTACATACTCATTATTTTCTCACGACAGATTCGACATGTTTTCGTGGCTAGATCCGATAAAGTTCTTGTCGACTATTCTCATCTTTTCTATAGCAGACACGTAGAATTTCTTAGCGTATACACGCGCCCTTAGATGTCCATGGACCACAGTTTAAGAAACCTTGGCCTAAAACCTTATGTATAAACTATTATTTCTTGCCAGTTTCAGAAAATAACCCCTATATTCGCCCTTCACACAGAACTGAATGAGCTAGTTATAAATAGCTTTATATGACGACTTCAAACGTAATTTCTGTAACAATTAAATAAAAACGTTGCATTTGTGACAGGTTTACATTATAGTTATTTGCTTTTCAGTTTGCGCGCAAAATTCGAGAGCATGAAGGTTCAACAAAGTAACGTGCAGAAATCTGCTGTACCCAAAGTTAACAGATTTGTGGTAAGTCAAGTTTTATGTTTGTATTGTTATTCCAGGTCTGTAGTTTCAGCCTGTGCCTGCTCTGTCGTCAAATTCTTAATTTTTCGATTGTTGTTATAGAGTATTATCATTCTAATCAAACAAAATTTTACTGAGTATACAGTAGACTAAATTGGAAAACTAAAAACGATAAAGGTAATAAAAAAAAAACAATGCAACACACTCGTAGATCCGCATTAGGGAAACCCTGTATAGCAGGTGCCATGGACACATGGACAACCATGGACAACTAAAACAAAAAAAAAGCAGTAAAAACTGTGAAATATTGTATAGTCTGTCTTTTTTGAAAATGGAGTAAAATGACAGTTACTTGCGCTAAAGGGTTGCCCGCTTGCAAGCAGCTAGTGCTTGTAGTCGACAAAATAGTCCATCATACGTCTATCTCTTGGGCACAAGTTCATTTGAATTATTGGTTTTTACATACATACACTAAATTTAGAAGTATGTGTATTAAAAATAAAGGAGACTTTTAAAATGTGTAAGACTAAATATTTATTTTTGTACTAATAGACCAACTGTTAAAATAGGAATAAAGAATACAATAACGCAATTATAATCTATAGGCTCATCTCTTTCGCACTACGTCATAAAAATGACAAGGACATAAGATGGAGGCACAAGGTTAAGTGGGCGTTTACAAACGTTGAAATAGTCCGGCCTCGTGCATAAAGGTTTTTATACATTACCATAATATTTTTTTCAACAATCTCACATTTTCCATCAATGAATGTCGTAAACTGAGTCACAGAGTAAGAAGGTATATTATATTGCCATTATGAACGCGGCTTTAGTGACTTATCTCTAACCAATCACGTGCGGCTCTGTTTTCTCAGTACTAGGTCGCTAACTTGAATGGACTATAGTAATCATTAGAACATTCACAATTTTGTTGTTTTTGGCAAAATTGTACCTACTTTCACAATCTATCGATAAAAATGTCGATAACTTCTACATGTAAATTTTACGAAAAGTCACAACCCTGCAAATGCCACTTTACTGCATCTTCAAAAAAGACAGACAAACCAACCTGCTCCGGCTGCTGCTGCTCAAATCCGGCGAGGTGCAAACAGTGATTACAACCAGAGAATTTCTTCTAATAGAGCTGCATTTCTTTCCAGTGACGGCGCAGCACTTGGCGCAAGAATACCAAAGCATTGTTTTAACCCGTTTTTTTTTCACTGTAAAGTTATGTCTATATACTCTAGTTGGTAAGACCAGGTTGTAACCGTTTCTGTATTTGACTATTTAATTAACTATTATTAGACAAAATTAAAAGATTAATTATATATATTTTACATTGGATAGATAACTTGATTATAGACTTTTTTTCTTCGGTATTGTCTATGTTAGTAAGTTTTTTTTGTTAGTTTTGTCTGGCACGCTGCTTTCGGCGATCACTGTTGTCCTTTTTTACTCTTTGACATCCTCGATAGTCCAAGATTTGCACTATGGGTGCTGTATGAGAAGTTCCAGATTCGATTCCCGGTAAAACCAATTTGGGTGATGAACTTTTCTAAATTGTTTTGATCTGGTTGTTTCGAGTATAATGAATTCCGTTGTTCTGGTACTTGGATATTCCCTAGTTTGATACCGGGTTATTGGCGTGGTTGTTTGCTGAGTAAGAACTTGGCGTTCAAAAAATATCAGATACACATACAGAGTACTAAAAAAACCGACCTCAAAAGTCATTCATCCCCTAGTTTGCCACCCTTCGAGGTGGAATATTTTCTTCAAATGTAAATGGGACCACTACTGAGGTACTCCTCCTTTTTTGTAGTCGGTTAAAAATAAACAATCTACACTGAAGAAATAGATACGGTAAACAAAGTTAAACAACCAAAAAAAGATCTGCCAAGCACAGAAAAATTCGTAAGGTCCGCAGGTTCGTTCCGTGGCTTAATTGGCATAGCGTCTGGCACGATTTGCTAGAAGACGTTGGTTCGAATCCAGCTGGATCGAAGGATTTTTTTATAAGTGTAGTAGTAACTTTTATAAGTGAGGAATTTCAAAGAAAATTGAATATTATGGTGTTGAAACATTCCGTCATTCAATGAAGTGTTAATTACAAACACTCTACACTTATCGCTCTTATAATGAATGTAACCACACTAAAGACGAGCTACTAACTTATCTATTTCTGCTGCCGCCAAGCAATAATGCTGGCATTGCTGCGTTCCAGTGCTGGTGTGATTACAATGGATTACAGGCACCTGTGACTTGTCAGCTTTGTGTCACAGGGTTACGGGCGCAGTGGCAGTGTCAGTGCAAATCTTAAAATCTATCTATCCAATGTATTTTTTGTTCTATATTTAATTTCTATTACAGTTCTTTTATCTGTCTTATTACTCTCAGAGCTTGTTGAACTGGAACCTATTTTTAAGTATATACAACGAACAGAATAAGTTGATCCTCGCCGTATTGCAAAATATTAAACAAGGCATTTCTTGAATTGCTCGTGTAGAAGAATAATCTCACAGTATACTGAATGGTTGTACAAGTCAAAGCCAGTTTAAGTTGACATCAGGGACGCGTCACGCTGGGGACTGTTGGTAAAATTCTTATTCTGATCAAAGATCCTGGTTTTTGCCACACTACAAAATTAATAACAAATTACTTCGTGCAAGAAACCATTTTTTTAATCTTTTATCTATATGACCGTTAAATATGGAAGTGACTAAGAAAAATCCCATACAGCCAAGTCGTCTGCTCGTTTCTTTCAGAGCACTGCGTGTGTGTTATTTTTGTTTTGTTTTAAAAGGGTCTATGGTTAGTTCATTATTATTGTTATTTAATTATTAAGTTAAAAAGATGGACAAATAATTAGGAAAAAAAATTCCAAAAATTACTGAATGATACCAATAAATATATTCTCAGTTATAAACGGATAATTAAATGTTATGCATAAATAAAAATAATCACATTATTTCTTAAGCGGAATTTTCCCGCTTTTCAGTAATCTATTTTTGTAAACATATTTGCATAATTTCCTTACATTTTTTGAGAAAAGGTCTATACATACCTCGGCGGGAACGTAAATGTCCCTGGCTCTAATTTTCCGACCTCGGTTTTACCTCGTATTTTCAACCAACTGGTACAGTAATTTCAAGCTCCGAAAGTAACTCTTTACATTTAACAGAATTGTAGGCAATTAAATTAATAATTTTAAATGTGTATTTATGTATGTTTAGGACGTAATAGTGACTGCATTTGCGCGAGTGCCTTATAATGTGCAATTGAAAAAAAAGTTTTTTACTGACATAGTGTTAGGTTTCAATAAGATATGTGTTCATATCTTATGTGAGCTCTCTAAAATGTTGGAAATTGATAAACTTCAACCAAACTTAGTAAAAACAAACTACAATTGTCTAATATTAAGATTTCTTGTAAAGTCCTAGCTTTGGAAGTAATTCAAATAATTACCATTGAGAAATTCTGAATTTCGAAAAAACTCGCATAGCGAAGCTTGGATTTTATTAATTTATACTGTATTATTAACCAGTTCTATTATTTTCAATTTGATATTTCATAAATAATATAATTTTAAATACACTGGTTTATTTGTAACCTACTAACAACCTCACAGGCCAATATTATTATTATTTTCCATGAATTTTTACGAAACATAAAGAAACTTACGAAAAATAAACTTTTCAGTATTTGGTGTACTATCTGACACTTTCTAGATCTGCATTGAAAGGTAAGAAGTTCAAATGTGCAAGCCTCCTCCCCGACGTGCGTTTTGCATCGTACCATTTACCGCACAGAGTTATCACCGTTTAGAACGAGTAAAATCCGATGAATTATTAAAAGACATGGAACAAAAGTTGTTTATGATACTTGTAATATAGGTTTGCGATTTTGCCAGTGTTTTACAAATAACCATGTGTAATAATGACATCCTGTTTATTTACTGAGTTTGTAAAGAAGCCGTAATCGTATTGTTACATAAAAAATAGAAAAACTGAATACTGATCTTGCCATTGAACTAAAAAATTAAATAATTAAATTTAAAATTTATTTTATTCTCTAGTGCCATTATTAATTCATCATTATTTCGCTTTTATTTATCAATTATATTTACACAACAAAAAAATACACACGCCAGCACGTTTAGTGGAACATTAGTAAAAAAGTACCAAAATAATGCAATATGTTTTCGTAACACTGCCCGGTTATTTTACTTTTTTTATTTTATGACTAAGTTGAAAATTAAAAAATTGTCGACTGTGATTTTTTCATTCATTTTCTTTTAATTTTGTTTTTCGAGCTGTAAGTGGTGTTACGTTCTTGCAAATTTAGTAAAAAGTTTATTTAGCTATATAAATTTTGATAATCCATTTTCTGTTTAAATTTTTCCGTTCAATTTCCAACAGTTCTTGCTTTGCCACAAAGTGTAAAAGAATGCATTTTGTTTAATTTCCATTTTTTTTTTCAATATAGGCTGTACTAAGACGATATGTTTAAAGACGTTAATTGAATTGATACTTTATATCGAATATCCTATTTATTTAAATATAAACGTTACTGTTTTATATTCTCATTTTTTTGTTCCGCTAAATGTGCCAGCATGTGTACTTATTGTAGTTTTAGCATGTTATAAAATCATTTTTATTCTAGTTAATTTTATGATCTGACTGAGAATCGTCTATATTTATTTGTTTGTACTTAAAAAGTTATTTTGTCCTTTTTTCATTATTTATAATGTACCTTGAAACTTTGGTCTAAGTAAATAAATAATAAACAATTTATTTTTGTTTTATTGCTTTCTCGAGCATATCAAATTACATAAACCAGTCCTCAACTCCCTAAGCTTATACAACTTTTCATTCGTCAAAATCTAATTGCATTTTTGAAAGCGATATAACTTAACTGTAATTTCCACAAGTCCTTATAGAATTTGAATTTGTAAAACCGGAGAAATATTTTGTGGAGAAGTATTATGTGGATTGGACCCTTTTTGCTTACCAATCGCACGTAAAACATCCAATTGCATGTAAAAGGTCTAGACTAAACAACTGGAAACCTACTACATGCTTAAGACGCAGTAACGGGAATTTTTGTGAATGCTCCAGCATTCTCGTGAACGCGCGCGCTCTCGCGTAGCAAATTTCGCTTCTGTTCCGCAGTAATGTAAATTGAGCCAAACCAATATCAATTTTAAGCCAAGTCCCAGACAGGTTGGTTGGTTGAGTTTGGTTTTGAAGGAGTAGGGCTAGCCCGACAAGGCGAGGCTTGCGCGAGAGCGACATAAAGCGTGAGATCTCTAGGCGAGAATAGCAGTATGTAGCAATAGTTACAGTAACATAATTTTTTACTAATTAGTTCTTACACTTTTCGATTGTTGATCGATTGTGAATTGAAATAGTTAATAATCTACTAGTTACTAATTCTTGATCAAACTTAGTAAATAAGATTCATTCTTATGAAATTAGTAACTGGATCTATTGGTACTAAATATGTAATAAGAACGCTTTTTTTACAGTTCGGAGGCACTTTTTTAGACACCGAATATTTAATATTAATTGCAAAATTAGTAAAATACTATATTCGATTATTTCTCGGCAAAGACGACTAAATAAAAAATCGATTTGATTTTTTTTTATCGTGCTGGGTGTATACTTCGTAGCTTCAAGCTCGACTCCCTCGTGATAGTGGGTTGAAATAAAAACACCAAAATTCTATTTATAATCTAGTTATTATTTTCAAAAAAAATATGGGATACGTGAAATAATAAATTAACTACATAAACAGATAAACATTTCAATCACAATCGTGTCTTTACGTCGTTTGTAACAGTGGTACAACTTGAGTCTAATAATTGGAAATAACCAAGACACGAACTAAATTTGTAACATAAAAGTTTGGTAATAATATTAAGTTTTAGGAATATTTTGCTTATCAAAGTTTACCTTAAGCAGTTTGCCAGATAAATTACTTAAATTAAGCCGTGGCTACATTCATTCATTGTTAGTGCGTAGTCACACAAGCGGCATACCAACTGCAGATAATTTTTTTTAATGTAAAATAGACATACGCTTCGTTACAGGTTTGTGTTTGAGAAATATAGATACTGGTACACTACCGGTATCCATTTCATTAATTTGCCGTATGCATTAAAAAGGAGAAAACAAGGCGCTTCATGCTAATGGATGGTATATCAGTGACAGGCATGGCTTAATACCGTTACAAAAAAAAAATGTATTTATACTTGTACTCTCCATTTCGATACCCGAGTACCAATGGAAAACTGATATGTGGTTGCCGCAGGCCTTGTTACGGATATAAAATACACGTGTTATACTGGTATTTTTTTATTTCGGTACCTGAATATCGGTATCAATGGAAAACCGGTATATTTATACCGATACCATAAGGTATGTGAAACTATTTCTTGAAAAAACAGGTATAATTTATACCGGTAGCATCTAAATATCGGTACGATATTCCAAGCCCTGGATGCAAGGATGGAGTGCCCCAGACTTTCCGATAAGAAGAACAGTGAAGGACAATTGCAAAAAAAAATAATTGAAAAGCAAATCGTTAGTATCATTAACGTAGGAATCACAACGATACTTCGGGGAAGAAAGGACGTAAGTACCAAATAAAAAAATAATTTATAACGTCAATTTTTGGCGAAAAATTAAACTTTGAATACCATAGACTGAACGTGCATGAAAATTGTATTAATCCACATTAAAGCTGATTTTTTATTAAATTTACTTTCTTTCTTCTCTGAAGTATCGATAATAATACATAAAATGTAAATACTTAAGTGTGTTTTAGATATACGGAATTATTATCAAAAGTCTTATTACAAAATCGCATCACATTCATAAAACGTGAAAACAATTCATAAAAATTATAAACGAAAATTTGGTTTTGTTTACAATTTTGTCGTTTACCTTATTATTCGCAAACTGTATTGGCTTTAATACAATTATACAATATTATAACGTGGACATAAAGCAGACTCAGAATAAAAAGAATGTAATTATGCAGAAGACACGATCTTGTGTATAAAGGAGAATTTTCACATTTTGGTATATCAAAAATCGTAGAAATGTATTTTATGTATATTGTTTTAAATTTTACAATGTAGAAAAGAATGTACAAAATCACGTTAGACTGGATAATTTCAATGGAACTTTTCGACGATTTTTTTTATTCATAGAAAACTCACTCGACTCTCGAAGAACGATCATGGAGTAAGGGTCACTCCTCCCTTGTGGGTGTAATAACTTTTTTTTAAATAAACGTAAAGAGGAGATTTTGCAGGCATGTTCATCATCATCTTACCAGATAATATTTTACCTTCGTATACCTGCAATTTCCCCTAGCATTGGCTTTTATAACATAATTTCTAGACTGCATAAGAAAAGCACCCAAGGGCACGGGAGCCAAGTGGCAGGGGTGAAGAAACCAATAAGCTAACTATTCAAGGTTAGGAATTTTGAGATATAGCAATTTGTAAGTCGTCGTTACCAATTCATATTAATGCTCACTGCTGTGCACGGATCCTTTCTAAAAAGAGGATTTTTTACCATATGCCCACGACTCTGGCCTAATACGGGTTGGTGACTTCAAGTCTTCAGATTTCACTAAGGCAAATGTGCAAGCGATAATCACTAGACTGCACATCGATACTTCTGGGAAGAAAACGTGTAAAAGTTTCTTCACAAAGATCTTTATGAATGTTTTGGTGCATATCTTTTTAATTTTTATACCTATTGCTAAGTTAAAATTTCATTTTTTTGACGAAAAGTATTTCTGCGACTAAACCGAAGGAAAGGCTTGAAAATTTAATTTAAATCTATAAATAATTTTTAATAAAATTGACTTTTACGCCATTTAACATAAAGTATCGACATGATTAGAAGTCAGAGGATGGGGAACTCAGGATTTTTTACACAGGAGAAAACATTCTCCTAATTAGGCTATCGGTGCTGTTTTAAGTAGCTATAAAGTTTTGGTAAACTAACTCCAGCACCAGTGTACTTTACGCTTCATAAAATTATACCCTAATCAGGCGCGAAACTGTGATACTGTGGGGAAGAAGAACGTAACAACCAAACTTGGAAGTTTCATAATAGATTTGGAACCAATTTGTTAAACATTCTTGTTGTTCTCTTACAAGAAGAATGAAAATGTACGTCTTACGTTTACGTAAAAACGCCTTTATTTGCGAATAACAAAATTTTGAATAGATAGATTGAAAGAGCAGGAATTTGAATTGGCGTTTGCTATATTTTTTGTAAAGATAATTCATTTCATCAAATCTATTATTATTATTTATATAAAGAAAATTCCTTTGATCCAACTGGATTCGAAACAGATAGCTCAGTCGGTAAGAGCTATAGCCACGGTGTGGCAACAGAACTTGGTTCACGTCTACTCAGATCGAAGGTGTTTTTATATGTTTTGTTCTTCTATCGTATCAATAATAATATCAATAATTCACCATTGATGAAATTAATTGGTTTTTATACTCCTTCCTCAACTCTGTCCGACCGATTTTATCTCTCCGACCCAGTGTTGCCGTACTAAATTATCTGCCAATTGAAATTTAAATTGAGGTTTAAATGGAAGCCAGTGTTACCACACTACTATATCTCAAACATGTTTCTGGAAAATTGAATTCGTCACGCAACATTTCAAATTATATGATGAATAAAAATTAAACATAACAAAAATGTACACGATTGTCTCTATTGAAAAAGATTCACGTACACTTATAAGAACAACAAGTCTATTATAACATTTTGCGCTAACTGTCTTGTTTAAAAAGATTGAAGTTGTTTTTTTGCATTATTAAACAAGGTTTTTAGGATAACATTGAACTTGGATAATGTCTTCTACACATTGAACATCGGAAACTACGAATGTTTACGAACGCTCTATTTATAACAATCGAATGAAACTGATTTTTCGTAAAATTTCGCGAAACTTGCAATTTTTTTTATGTAGTGAAGTTTTGTCAATAGTGTTTCGGGCTCCATAGGTCACTACCGGTATCTTCCGCTTTCATTATCAATAGCAAAAAAAACAAGTTGAATTCGTATTTTTTAACGTGTGGTCGAAATATGTCAAAACGCCTATTTTGGGTCTCACTTTATCTTAAGAGCCGCTTACCTACTTACCTTAGACCATTCCATTTTTTTCTCTAGGCTACTTACCGTCCATGCGATATAATTACTTCAAAGACATTGAACAAGACAAAGACACAAATTTTTTTTTTGGTACTGATTTTTTTTTCATTGATTAAAAGGTAAAGGCACTAGTGAGCTATACAGCCAAGACTGAGAGTAATTACTTTCTTGGGTCACATTACAAATTTATATATTCGATAGTGCTTCTCACAAAATAAAATAAAATTGCATAACATTTTTTATTTATCAGGCGATCTGGTAAAGGGCGCGGGATGCAAAACCCTTGAAAACATTAAACAAGTTTTTTATTTAAATGTCATGAAATATATCAGTTACGCAAAATTCGGAAATATTCCCGGTTTCCGTGAATCCCGATATTCAATGTTTATGCACTACATCTTGTACACAAAAAATTCATTATGTTTTTCTGGTATTTTCACCTTTAAATGAAAATGGTAATTAATTATTAAATTGGATTATGTATTGTATCGTCGTAAGACAAAATTTTCACCAAAACATGTAGCTAAATAAATGTTTTCTTGTTATCGAAAATTGTAGAAAAATACATAACAAATAAGCTAAAAAATTATTTATTCATTATAAATAATGCAAAAACACAATCTCAACACAGGGTCAGGCAAGTGGGTGCTATTATATAACTATTATTTTTACTATAAAATATTAATAATACTGGTTCTAAAGTAAACATACTGTACAAGGACAACGAACAAGATTGACCTAGGATTACAACAATTTGTTTTGTGCAATTTTGAGCCATATTATGATAACAATAACTGCTCTTTTGCGTTTGCTATTATATTCAGAATGCAGCTCACAGGACCATAAGGTAATCGGATATCCAAAGGCAGTGTCTATACTTATATCATTACGACAAATCAAATTTCAGATGTATAGATTGTAAGTTTGAACTAGGAATTATATGTTATTTTTAAACCATAATAAGGGCTATTTTAAATTTTTTTTTTGAAAACTTAATTTAATTTTTTTTTAATAATAATATTACGTGACGGCACAAACAAGTCGTGCGCCTGATGGTAAGCTACACGTCTATTCATAACAGTTGCAGTGCCACTCAGAGCTTTAAATCGCAAAGATCTGAGACATAATTTGATAAGTTCCATGTGCCTGTAATTTCACCAGCACCCTTACCCTTTAAAGCCGGAACACAGTAATGCTGACATTACTGCTTGGCAGCAAAAATAGGTAATGTGGCAGTACTACTCTGGATGAACTCTTTCCCAAGAAGCTCTACTGCTACTAAATTTTTTTTTGTATGGAGGACACAGCATTTAGTCGCTCAACACCGGTTTTCAGCCTGCCCTTAACTTACTTTCAAGTTTGTATACAAAATGTTACTTGTTCTGATCGCTAAAGACTACATTTTGCTATTTTTTCGTTATATTTTTCATTACACTTTCAACAGTCGCTGCTACCAGCATATAATTTTTTCTACAATATTAATAATGATACATATTTATTTTATATTCGGATGCTATTTTCATGCATAAACAACATATAATAATTCTTTTTTTTAACATGAAAACATCATCCAAATATAAAATAATTATTGTACTTTATTATCATTTAGTAATATTGCAGAAAAATAATTAAATGTGGGTTACATCACTTTAACGCTGATAGCCTCAAAATTAATTACAACTAAGGCAAATTGTACGGTGCACATCGTTTATTTTACCCTTAAATATGTAGCTTCAAAATTCCGGTGATGTCCTGAAAACTACAAAAATTATTTTCTCGGAGTTAAAACTTGATTTTTTTTGTGGAATTTGTCTATATTTGCGGCTAGGTTCAAAGCAAGTTGCAACCCCTAATAACATATAAAAAAAAAACCAGCAAAAAATAAACTAAAAACTGACTAATTGGCGACTTACTCGCAGCCTATAAATGCCAGCGCGGCCAAAAAATGTTTGTAATAAGTTGTTGTTGCTGTGTAACTTGGCTGCAACGATTTAGTCACTAGAATTTTATTATCAAAAAATACCAAATTCGGGACATAAACTTTGATCGATATTTTCTCCAAAACTATTGTAGTTGAGACTCACGGGAGTTTTACTCATGCATTCGGTATGAAACGTTTTCTCTAATTCTTTTGTTAACAGGTACATGTCCGGTTTTAAGGGTAAAAAAAAACAGTGTGCGGTGCCCGAAGCGATCACAAGAAAAATAACATAAAAAGTTATTTTATAGCAGTGTTTCAATTACACAGGTCGAGGATACGGTGCATAGACACTGCTTGCCAAAATGATACAAGTATACACAGCACTAGACAAGTGTCTTGGTAAACGCAGTTGTGGATCAAATGGTCCGATTTAGTCATTATAATTCCTTATAACTTTAACATAAAATATATTTTCGCAATTCAATATTATTGTAATCATACGTCAAAAAAGGCTATAAATTACTAGGCCTCAATCACATTGTCATATAAAGAGCTATGATGATACATCCATATTCTAAAAATATATATTTGCAGATTTCAGGGCGTTGTCACACGAGCTGCGTTCCCACTCGTCGATGTAGTCGCGCCACCCGCCTCTCGTGTGACTACGCACTTAAGTCTACAGTTCAAACGACGATGAAGTTTTTGGTTATCTATGGTCAGATGATCACAGTTCTATCATAAAAATGATGGAATTGAGAAAACGCGAATTGAAAATTGATAAAAATTACTCAATGGAACCAACAAATTTATATTCTCGTTTATAAGTGGATAACTAAAGACCTACCGCGTTACTGAGTCGGTCCCTGAGGTAGATGCGCGGTGCGGGAGAAGTGACAGTTTACGTAACAGTGATGTCGCGCTGCACACTGGATAATGTCAACAAGATTTTTCTGGCAATATTCAATAGCTAGTCGATTCGAAGATCTATAACAAACTTCCGATTGAAATAAGGAACTGCAATAATGTTAGGCAGTTCAACACAATGTTATTTAATTACCTCAATGAAATGACATTCTACAATATTAGACGCTTCATTTAAAATTGACATTGTATATTGTTTAGATTGTTTTTAATTTTTGACATTTAGTTTATTTTAGTATTGTGACTGATATTATTTTATTGTATAATATACAAATTATTGCATGAGTGTGTATATAAAAAAATTAAACTGCGTATACTGCAAGGCGGATCACAGTGATTTTATATGAACTTTTTGTAACACCACAAAGAAATAAATGAATTTGAAGAAAGTGCCTACCAATTTAATCAATTGTTGTTATGTAAAACGACAATAAAAAAAACTATTTCATTGATAATTGAAATGAATAGACAAATCTTTTGTCATTTTTTTTTCAATCAACTTGTTATTGAATATCGTCAGAAAAATCTTGTTGAAATTATCCCATGTGTAGCGCGCGACATAAGGTATTGGGTTATATTTTATGTAAGTGCATGTAGTTAAGAAATACAGTTTATTGTTCCTTTGTTTAATTGTTGTTTGTATGATTTGTCTGAAGCTATAGGTGGAAACCTGTAATTGGCTTTATGTTCATGTTCCTGTTTTTATTAAATGTAAGAAGCTGTTGGCTGAATAAATATATAACTAAATAGCTGTTATGAAAACTCCCATACCGCGCAGCTACCTCAGGCGGTAGGCCTGTAATAAGGCATAAATAAAAATTATCTCATTATTCGCAATAAGATTAATTCAGTATTGTTTATTTAATTTTCAAATCGTCTTTATTCCATCATATTTGAGTTATGGAACCATTTTGTTTCATATCCGACATGCAGTTGAGGCCTTAAGAATATAAAAATTTTAAAATATTGTAATGATTTAAAAAACTGGACACATTATTGGACTAATAAACAATTTCAAGAGTGTCCAGTTAATTTTAATGAAAACTAATAACATTGATTTTCTTGCATTGTGACCACAAAAGTTAAACGATCGTCAAAATTCTTGAATAACACTGAGATGGAATTGTTTATACAAAAGGTCAGTGGCCACACATTTCAATTAAAATAAAATTACAATATAAAATTCACAAACTTTAAAAACTACGCCTAACTCTATTCAGAATATAATAATTTATACTCTTAGTGCAATTTTTAGAAATATGTGTGAATATTTTCATCTTAACTAAAGTTTTAATTTATTTATTATAAATTTTCGTCTTCGTTAAACTCTCTCAAAATCACATTCTTTGCAGTTTTAGATATATATTTGTTATTTTAATTTGATTTATAATCATGGATTTAAAAAAAAAGAATAAACATATTTTAACTGCACTGGAAAGAGGAAACTTTTTAATGCTGTTTCTTATATTTATTGATTTGGTTCAAGTAATTTTAATTGTATACTTCATGTCTTATAATTCGATATTGTTTATAATTAAAAAAAAGTATAGTGCCTTTATTTTTAAATTCCTTCCATATCTCTCCTAACTGCCGTATTAGACATTGTTGTCGTAACTAAAGGCCCATTTACACGAAGAGAGTTGTAGTATTTGAAAAAACAAACCCCTAGTATTTATTGCTCGTTCTTCATAGGGAAGTCAGCACAGTGAATGAGAAGTAGCTTAAAAAATGACGTTTTCAAATGGTATTAATGAGTTTTTGACTTTGACTGTTGACTTTGTAGTTTGTACACGGTCGCAGTATGCGATTCGTTATTTATTCGTTCGAGATTTTAGTTCTTGCCTGTAGTATTAATCTTATGAACATTATTGCTTGCGACAGTAGCATACGGTTTCTTGCCACGAAGCATGCAATAAACTCTCTCCATCTAAACGGACCTTAAACAAAAACTACGATCTTTAATCAGCTTTCAAAATCGACCGTTTTACAGGCCTACAGTTTATCTGAGTCAGTTCCTGAGGTAGGTGTGCGGTGCGGGGGAGTGAAGATTTTTCTGACGATATTCAATAGCAAGTTGATTGAAAAAAGTGCCTACAAAATTATGATATATGATATTTCATTGACAATTGAAATTAATGGACAAACCATTTGGCACTATTTTGAATCAAGTTGTTATTGAATATCGCCACAAAAATCTTGTTGAAATCATCCCGTGTGCAGCGCGACACAACTGTTACGTAAATTATCACTCTTCCCGCACCGCGCAGCTACATCAGGAACCGACTCAGTTAAGCGGTAAGCATGTACAATGAAATGTATGTATCTTTTGAATAAAACTCATTGAAAAAAACCAGTTTGACACGCTTCAAGCTCAAGATGCCAGGTGTTAGGGCGCCTTCAAATTAGACGCTTACAGAAAGAAAAATTCATACCGTATTTAGAAGCGTACTTGCAACGCCACTGTCGTGACACACGCGCGCCACTTTTGCCACAATTAGTGAACTGGGCACTACAAACGCTCGGATGCCACGCCACCGCAGCGTTTCTACAAGCGTCTATAGTCTATCGTTTTTGAAGACGGAGTAAACTGACATTTGCAGAGTTGCCAGTTTTCATAAAATTTAAAATAGTCATGACGTTGTCGACAATTTTATCGATAGATTGCGAACGAAGGTAAAATATTGCCAAAAATGTCTGATTTGTGAATGTTACCACGTTCTTATGATTACTAATTGCGTTACTGCCTTCTTCATTCTTACCTTTGAGAGTGGGCTTGCTAGTATCAATATCAAATTTTATTGATACACATTTTAAGAAGAACGAAAGAGGCGGGTTTGATTATTTGTATTGAAATAAAATGAAAAACTTTAATATGTCGCCCCATTATGTTTTTAATACGTCTAGTCCTAAATGCAGAGTATGTATGTATGAATTTACAAATATTGCCAGTTCAAATGAACCAGTGCTAAGCAATTGGACGAACAATGATGACTTGATTGTTGCTTAAGCGTAACCAACATTCAGTCAATAGTCGACAAAATATTTATGGACGTCGATAAAATATTTATCGACTGCAAGCACTAGCTGCTTATAAGAGGGCAACACTTAGGCGCAATGAACCGTCATTTTACTCAATTTTCAAAAAAGATAGACTATAATTTGATGGCGCCATTAAACCCAAAATTGGTCGCCTGGAATATATTTCTTAATGCTAGTTACGACATTCAGTTAGGAGAATGACAGATATATTTGAAAGTTAAATAAATTAATGTTAGTGAATATCTAGAACTGCACATTCAACTGTTATCATTCGCTTAGCCTCCACGAGACATCTTAAACTATACTATTTACAAGATTTGCGGTTGCCACAAGCCACCGTCTCAATTGTGAAGAAGCTTTAGTTTAATTTTGATTGAAAATATTAAGAGATCGTATTTTTATTGATCTTTAGAGACAACCAAGCTTATTTAACTAAAACTGGGTGTGACATTTTTTAATGCGCACAAAAGAAGTCGTTTAAATAGGCCTTATTATCAACCGAAACGAAAGAGATGTGCAATCAATAGGATTTTTACCTTTTGACACAGTTCATGATTTTTGAACTATAATTTATTCAAATCTCTCTTCTGCGCTAAAGTGGAAAATAAATCTTAATATTTGCATTTCATAGTAACTTTGACAGGAGACCATATTTTCTTCTTTAAGTCGAATTCAATAATTTTAGATCATAAATATTAACTTACCAATGGAAAAGCTTCCTTTTCACAAATAACAAATCAAAATAAAACTGAAGTCACTTCAAAACGGTATAAGTCACATTTAATCTGGGGGCCGGAGTACCACATCCTGGGATAACTTTGTGTCCTTCACTTTCACATCATTTTTTGTCTCTTTCCCGCATTCCTTCTCCCTGTGTTTGTGTTCCCTTTTGTCGTCAGTTCTGTCTCTTCTATGCTCCTTGTCTCGACGTTCTGACTTATGATGAGACGACTTGTGACGCGATGATGAAGATGATGACGACGAATGGCGCCTGTGGTGATCATCAGGTCGTGTTTTGTCAGACTTTTCTACTCTGTGTTTGTCGTCTTTGTGTCTGTGCCAATTTTTGTCAGCTCGCTCTTTTTCTGTTCTATTTTCTAATTTCTCTGGCTTTGATTCTGATCTGTCAGTTTTATTATCCGTTTTTGAATCTAATTTGTCAACTTTTAATTCTTTTGTAACTTCGACTTTCTCTGATTTAGTTTCTGTTCTGTCGGTTTTAATGTCTTTATCTGATTTCATGTCCGGTTTTTTGTCTTTCTTGTCTTCTGATTTCTCTGTTTTAGTCTGAGTCTCTGTACTTTTTCTGTTTTCGTCTATCTTTAAGTCTGGCTGGTTGAACTTCGCGCTCAACGCTCTCATTTCTATGACGCCTGCCTTGTGTTTTGATTTCTTGTCTTCTGTAAATGTAGAAAAATAATTTTATGATTAATAATAACAGTACATTTTAGTCGAGTATGAATATTTAGTAGGGAACAGCTGGGAACAGCAGATATTCGTTTCGAAATGTATGTCCGAGAATTAGATATGAGCGCCGCCGACAAATGCAATCGGCGCACTGTTCAGGTCAGTTCGATCAGGCGCTCTAATCGTACGCACGCGCACGCTTCCTTATTGTGTACGTGTACGTAGTGAAAATGGCGACGCCGGAAATTGACATTTATAAGAAAAAACTTAGGGACGATGTTTTATTTAAAACATTAATTTGTCAATTTCTGGCGTCGCCATTTTCACTTCGCATACACAATACGGGAACGTGTGCGTACGCACAACCGGGGCCCCTGATCGAACTGATAAAATTTGATTAGTGTAGAAAAGCTCCCATATCTTTCTACGTTAGTTTTGATTATAGTAACCCTCCCTACCTACCCTTAGGGCATACGAGAAGGGCACTATAACCTGTGCGCGCACAGGAACCTTATAAGTTCAGGTTCTGACCCCAGATCAGCCCGTGTACAGGGTTGTCTCAGACCTCTGTCACTTGATCTGGTTCTTCGAGAGGCTAGTGTCTCGGGTGAGCCGCCCCGGGTACACGTACAGTACCCTCCCTATTTTCCGGATAGGTACCGGAGCTGTAGGCTGTTCCTAATAACCTATGCGGCTGGAGGAACTGGAGGATATCTAGCTTATCCTCTACTAGCTCTACTGGCATACTACTAGCTGCGACAATGTCCGGACATAGCGTCCAAGTTAAAGGGCAACTCACGTGCCCCACGCGAACAGACGCGCTCTGTTCGCTTCAGGCCCTCAATTAGACCGCCACTAAGACGCGCTAGCTGCTCACGAGACTGGTGCCCCGGAAACATGCAAAACCGGGGCAGACAAACATGTCCGTCTCTGCAGCTAACCACAAACCCCAGCGAGTCCAAACCAAATGCGTATCACTGGCGGAGGGCTTGGCCCGGACGCCCGCTGTACCCTGGTCTTGCCGTCGAGGTCGTAGTCTCTCCGGAACCCTACCTCTCTGGTCAGTAGATAGGGACAATTACTATAGAAAATAAGTTATTTTAGAAGCCGATTAATGTATTGTCGGCGCTCACATCTACAGGGAACGTAGATGACAAATTTAAAACTGGACTTAGACAATTCGAATGCATTCGGAAATCCAAAGATTGCCGAGAGGTATTATGAAAATAGTTGTAAGATTTAGGCCTTGTTATGATATTAAATTACGGGACGAACAATTCGTGCACCTGGTGGAAAGCGACACGTTTATCCATAACCATTGCAAAGTCAATCAGAGTTTTAAAACACGAAAATCTGAGGGGCACTGCCACTGCGCCCGTCACTTTGAGACATAAGTTGGCAAGTCCCATGTGTCTGTAATTGTCAAGGACCATGAAATCTTTCACAAGGAGCTGTATTGCTACAAAATTGTGTTTTGTAAAAGTTGTTGTCCATAATGTTATGTAGTCCTGTAAGGTTACTAGCAGTATGCTGAATTAGTTGTTGTGAATAAATGGCAGCCGTCCCAAAACACGGCAAAGTGACAAATTTTTTTTTTTTAAGATATAAAAAACCATAACCCAGTTTTAGAATAATGAAATAGTTTAATGATTCAGCTACGCATCGTTAGGGTAGGTTCCGATAAGTCGAAAATGTTAATTAATTTTAACTGTTTTTTAAAAGAGAATTTTGTGCTTTATTTGTTTCAAATTGCAACGGATATTTCACCATTTGTCACTTAGCCGAGTTTTGGTTAGTGGACGACAGATGGTTGAACCCCCGTTCAAGAACGTGGGTCGCGGTGAGCACCCACCGTGCGCGGCGAGGTCGGCGGCGGGCGGCGGCGCGGGCGCCGGCACCGCGGCGGGCGCGGGCACGGGCGCGCACTCCTCAACCGGCGACGACGACGACGACGACGGGTAGTACTGCTTCAGGCGCAGGTGCCACGCTGCAGGGACGAAACATCACTATGTACTTGCACTAATGATTATCAACATAAAATTTTGGTCGACTTCATGGTGCAGGATGCGTGGCAGCAGTAACAGCCTTGTGAACACCATATCGGAGGATGTAGCGTGTCCGATATTGTGCCATTGGACCAGAATTCATGTCACCAAGAAGGGCTGGTGACATGAATTCCAATTCCGCATACCTATTGTTCATTTCTATTATTTATTTTTAAGTATTTCTATTTTAATTATTTTCTATTTTTTTAAGTGTAATTTACTAACATAGTCCTAAGTTTTCAATTATTACTAACAAACCTTAAATAAATAAATTATTATTATTAATAATAATAATAATTCTTTATTTCGGATCATTAAAATAATAATAATAATAATAATAACGCACACATTCAACATAGCCCCGCACTAGGGAAGCCCTATGCCACGGGTGCCATGGACACACGCATAGACAACCACAAATTACACCCAAACTCACGAGAGAAACAAATGTAGGCCATACAAATATTTCTCCCGGCCCGAATCGAACCTGGGACCTCTACGTGGCAGTCCGGCATGGTAACCGTTCGACCATGGAGGCAGTTAAAAACATCCATAGTACGTTAGTACGAGAATTGAAAAACAAGGTTAATATAATACAATGCAGACTTAATGTATAACTACACTAGGAATTGGGCTAAGCCCATAATTTGCTCTATCCAGAATTTTACAATTGAACAGTCAAATCTTCCCGGTATTGCACTTAGAATGCTGTTGGGACTTTGTGTCACGCGACTCAACAGCAACCTTTTTCCGTATTACGGCCTGGAAGCTGTCCGTGTGAGCTTCCGCAAACATACCGGCTTCCCATCAACACTCTAAATGCGCTATAGACACAGGTTGCTCGTAGCGTTATTTTAACTTCGTTCGTCAACATCAATTACATGATCTCAAACTATAATTCATTTTACTTATAATAGGTACAGTGACGTTTGATATTTGAAGTTTCTAGAGATGTAGTGATATAAAATCGAATGAAAAAACCGATTTAAATATCTTATCGAAATAAATTGTAACGAAGAGAGAATCAATTTAGAGACAATAATTTAGAAGCAAATTATAAACAAAATAAAAAGGACTCAATTACTATATTATTAAGTAAGTAAAAGAAATATAATTAATAAAAAAATCAACAACCAAACACAAAATCTACAACAAAGTTAAAAATCGACAGCAACGAAGCGAAGTTGGCACAATTGCTTCAAAATCATCACGCAAAGCAAAACACAAAAGAAACTACATACAAGGTGCATACCATCGAGTATATAAATAGAAATATAGACGAAATGTCATCTAATTTGTTTGAAAACTATTCTGCCATATAATTCCGGTGACAACTGCGCTTCGATTAGCCAACCATTGACGGGTGTCACCAATTGTTTCCCTTCTAATTGACCAGTTTAAGTTGAGCTTTGCTATAATGGACGAAAATTGCAATTGCGATGAAATGTGATTCCGTTTATTTTGTAATTAGATGTTTCGCTGTTTCTCCCCACACCACCGAATGTAACAGCCCCCATTGTTAGAGATGTTATCATTGCTTACCTATCAGTAGTCTGAATTAACATTTTCCAGAAATAACGTTTGGTCGAAATTTCATAACCAAAGTAATTTTGAGAGGAAAATGTTCTTTCTTTTAAACCTAACCTAAGCTAACCTAACCGAACCTAATCGTGCCTTTGCGATAAACATTCAACATATCCTGAAAGAATAACTGTTTCGCTATAATTCGGTTTTCGGTGTAATGAAAATTCGGACAAAAAAATAGGTTACCATTATCATTACTACAATAAATACAGAATATTTTTGGAATCTACGGAGACGTACACACAGTTCAGTTGTTGGCGCTGTACTATTTCAGCTTTCTAATTTGTGATTTCAGCGCAAACGAGAGTTCATATTTAAAAGCGATATCTGTACCATTTGACTGACAAGTTGTCAGGGTTGGATAGCCCTTATTTCGGCTCTATTTCTGGTTATATACTCGATGGTGCATGTACTTGTATTGACGCGAGATACACAATAGTCGATTCTATTTATTCTACATGGATAAATTTTCCGTTTTTAAAACGAGGAAACTTTTATAATATCATGTCATGAAAGTATCATGAAAGTTGGAGAAAAAGTGAAAAAGGGTTCAGGTGAGCAATTTAAACATGATATTTGTAAGTTGCTAAAACGCTTACCGCGAAAAGCCAAGAGAAATAAAAAACAAATTTCCGTTTTACGCATTAACTAGATGGGGTAATTTATTTTTTATCTTTATTCTTTATAAATATAATTATAAATATAATTTATTTTTATCTTTATTATTATCTAAAAATTATATTATATTATTATTTTTATCTTTATCATTTCATTTTCTATCTGCTTATTATACTGTCACATTTACTTAAAATTACAACTACAACAAATATTGTTTGTTTTTGGTATATTATATTATAACAAACTCAATATTTGTTTCGGTAACCTGGTTAAGAGATTAGCAATGGTCGAAAAAAGGTGTGTATGGGCTACAAGGAGCGATATAGAGTTGTTTAAACCACCAAATAGTAACTAATTACTTTTGCGAATTCCAGATTTCCGGAAATGGTTTTACTGCATCGTAAAACAAATTACTGACCTAGGAAGTCGAAGTTAGATTTTAAAGTAATTCTAATGGTACCTTCTAAAAAATGTCTGACAGCCTTGTTGCCGTTTCCTCAATGTGACCGTCAATATGCGGGGTGCGGTGCGGTATCTAAAACTAGGGAGGCGCGTAGAGGGACCATTCTCGTCCCTTTTTTCTTCTCTGCTTTGTTAAAAGGTCAGTTATCTACTGCATTGTTTTACATGGCACCATTAGAATTACTTTAAAATCCAACTTCGACTTCCCAGGTCAGTAGATTTGTCGTACGATGCAGTAAAACCATTTCCAGAAATCCGGAACTCGTGAAAGTAATTAATTAATATTTGGTGGTTTTAACAACTCTATGTCGCTCCTTATAGCTATATCTATACCATGTATCTATATATGTGGAACACCGTTTTCCGACCATTGGAGGTTAATTATAAATAGTATGCGTGTAACGTCAAAGTTGGAATCCCACGTGAAATGGACTATAGGAAGTTCCTTGCGCGATGAATACAAGAGCAACGAAATTCACCCTGTATATACCCACAGCGCAAAACTTTTGGGTCACCGAAATCATCCACGAAGTCATGACATTTTTTAATTTTTATTTGTTAGTAATAAGTTTCCTTATACCAAACTCTAAGTGCAGAAAAATGACCTATCTTAATTGGTTCAAACGAAAATCGAATCCAGAATCTCGTATAACAAAAACATAAGCAGCCACTCACCAACAGAAGTGACAGCAGAAACCGTGCGGAACTGGTGTATGATATTTCTGGGCAGGAAGTAGACGTCGTCCGAGCACAGCGGCAGGCGCGAATAGCGCACACCTTCGCGGCGAAGTTGGTTCAGCTTCGCTTCTTCTAGCCTTTAAAACGAAATGAAATCTCTTCAGACAACAGTCAATAACAATATGTTTATTAATAACTATATAATATGGGATATAAATAAAATGTTTTTTATTTAAATGTAAAATGAGTTGAACATGTCACTGACTGTTTAGTGATGGCCAATTGTAATGCAAACTACAAATCGATTATTTAATTGAATGAATCGATTTGTTCAATCAAGGCACACTAACGGTTTACCTTACATAACCTATATAAGCATATTTAAAATTTCCGAAATCTTAATTTTAAATCCTCCTTCAAATCCTTAAACTTAGTCACTCGTTCGATTGCGAGTAAAATATTCAATTTACTAATATATTACAAAACTTTAATTGAATGAACCAAATGTTTTTTTCGTACATCACTGCAGCCATAGACAAGTCATAGATGTATAGATGAAAAATAACCTCACTTTTGGACTACCATTTTCCAAATACGATTTTAAGATGCTGTTCAAACAAATATTGTTGAAAAAAGTGATGAGATGTCAAGTCAAAATCTTCGAAACATATCAAGTGCGTTACGATTCTTATCATTAGTAGCATAGACTTTAGTTAAAATTTTAAAATCATAAAGTCTATGTATTGTTGATTGTACTACTAAAATCAAATCATTTATTTCTTTGTAATGTACAGGTTAAAAAGACGTTACAATATTGAATTTTGAATCATTGTTATCGGCCTTGCGGCAGACAAAGTTTTCATGTTTTTTTATGTCATTTTAATGTAAAATATACAGTCCAATTAATCGCAACCCAATAGTAATCTATTTTATTCTACTCTATCTCATCTCTTAAGTGTGACACCTGAGTACAAAGCCACAATATAAAGGTGCATACTAACCATGTGACGCACTGCGAAATGGGCGGTTCATAAAGGTCAAGCTGCAGGAGTACAACGAGCTTGTTGAAGTCTGCCGCGTGAAAAGCCACGACGTCCTTGGTGATGCGACCGCGGTCCGACTCGTCGCCGCAATGTATCGCCTTCAACACTCCTGCGTCGACAAAACCATCAATTGAATTTACCGATATCTTATAACTCATCAGTGGCAACAAAGGCTGTATAGAAATTGATAGTAACAAAATATGGTTTCACTTTAGAGCTCCTTGTGAAAGAGTTCGTCCAGGAAAGTACTGTCACCTTGCCCATTTCTGCCGCTAAGCAATAATGTGAGCATTACTGCGTTCCGGTTTTGAAGGGCGCTGCTGAAACTACATTAGTAATTGAATGAAAGAATGCCTTCACTGCCATTCCACTGAATATTGAGACTCTTCTAACAACTATTATCATAATTGCAATATTACCTTAGTGAAGTCTCAATGAAATTACAATCAGCGTGGTTTTAAGACAATTAGAAGAGCGACTAAATTTTAGCTGGTGTTTAAAACACCCAGGCAAGAGACAATATATAACTCTTCTTTTTATGATATGATCGTCTTTCTACAGTATGAACATCTCTTTTTTTATACTAAGAGATGGGACGAACAATTCGTACGCCTAACCAGAGCCGTTGCAGTGTCACTCAGAGCTTTAAATTGCAAAGTTCTGAGGGATACTGCCACTGTGCTCATCACCTTCAGACCTAAGTTGACATTTCTCATGTGCCTGTAATTTGACCACATCGAGTATATAACCAGAAATAGAGACGAAATGTCATTTAATTTGTTTGAAAACTATTTTGCCATATCATTACTGTGACAACTGCGCTCCGATTGGCTAGCCCGAGTTCGAAACAATTGACGCGTGTCGTCAATGGGTGTCGTCAATTATTTCACATCAAATCGACCAGTTAACTTGAGCTTTGCAGTAATGGACGATAATTACAAAATTACATATTTAATATTTAATTACCGATGAAATTTGATTCCGTTTGTTTTGTAATTAGATGTTTTGCTGTTTTTCCTCACACCACCGAAAGGAACAGCACGCCATTGTTAGAGTGATTATCTTTATTAAAATAAATACAGAATATTTTTGGAATATACGGAGATGTGCACACAGGTCAGTTGTTGGCGCTGTCTATATTTCAGTGCAAACGAGAGTCGATATTTATAGCGATGTATCACTGATGAGTTACTAGGAACGTGTGGCTCTATTTTGGCTCTATTTCTGGTTATATACTCGATATTTGACCAGCACCCCTACCCTTCACAACCGGAACACAGTAGTGGTCACATTACTGCATAAATAGGTAAGGCACTACTAAAAAGTTAAAACTGTGCAATCACTAGGTTAAAAACCTATTGTGGTGGTTTATAGTTCCATATATTTGTTCCAGGCTTTATACCCACGAACAATTCAATAATAAGTAATGTCCTTACCAACAGCGGCAGTGGTGATTCTGTCCAAACCATGACCGACGTGGTCGGCGTGAGCTCGAGTCCTGTCTTCGAAGAGGAACTCCCGGGCTTCGCTGTACCGCGGTAGGTACTGCAGGTTGCGTAGCTCATTTATGCCCGTCCTAAAACATTAACAAGGTAATAAAGCTAAATGTTTTTAAGTGCTTAAACGCCATTAATTGGCAAAAACAAGGTAAAATAATCTTTAAGGTGGTAAAGCGTACAGCCCAATCATAATTACGCTTTGCTGAAACTTGGGTGATACTTCATAGAAAAGTATGAAAGTGTAATAATAGTGAGCAACGTAATTATAAACATCATGTTTCATCAAACATATTTCTATTGCATATCATGTTTTTACTATTCTTTGTTTCAATCTATTTTAAACAAAAAGTAAACAAACAAGTCATTGATCCGACCCGTTTAGTGATGGCCAATTGTACTGCCAACTACAAAACGTTTAATTGAATGAATCCATTTGTTTAAGTTAATCAGTTGGAATAGCGGTTCATTTTGCGATTTCGGTGCTGATTACTACCAAAAAATATGTGATGCGATACTGAGTAATGGATATTTCTACTGCTACTGGTTTTCCTTACTAAACCTACGAGTATAAAAGCTTATTTAAAATTTCAGAAATCTTAATTTTAAATCCTGTTTCAAATCCTTACACTGAGATACTCGTTCGATTGCGATAAAATTTTTAATTTACTAATCTATTACAAAAACTTTTGTTCAATGAACCATTTATTTTCCGTACAGCAAATATGCAATATCATAGACTAGTCATACTTCTATATTTGAATAAAATAACCTCACTTTTGGACTATCATTTTCCAAATACGATTTTTTCACGTTATTTAAAAGAATACTGTTTGAGATATCAAGTCGAAATCTTCGAAATATACGTGAAAATGTATTTATTGAGTGATTGCTTTAGAATAAACTAAACCGTTTTGTTTACTTTTAGTATGTAATGGATTGGAACAGACCATACCAGGATATTCGTAGATATTTCTTTTTGAGAAAATTCTCCACTAGTTTGTTATCCATAACGATATAAAGATCCAGCAACTCGACTGTACTCGCAAGGAATATCCGATCTGCAGTTCAGTTGGCAAGAGCGGTAGCCACAGTGAGGCAAAGACAGTGGTTCAAGCACAATAATAAACTAAGCAACGTTGTTTAAAAGACGTGATCATACTAACCGCCTCTTCTTGATAGGACTCTTGCCGAGCTCGGCCGTGGGCACCAGCTGTTCGCCCGGCCGGATCCACAGGATGGGCCCGTCGTTGGACTCCTGCGGGTCCATATCCACAGCGGACATCGAGCCCCACGGCATTGTCTGCATCACAATTACAATATTCTACTATACGATACTCTTTGGTTGCATCCCCATTGCATTTCGGTCCTAATACCAAATTGTTTTCAAAATTAAGTTCGCGTAGTGTGTTCATTGGATACATCGATTTAATTATACCTAGTATAATATAAAACTGCCTCCGAGGCCGAACGGTTATCATGCCGGACTGCCAAGCAAAGGTCCCAGATTCGATTCCCGGGCCGGGAGAAATATTTGTATGGCCTACATTATTTCTCTTGTGAGTTTGGGTGTAATTTAAGGTTGTCTACGTGTGTGTCCATGGCACCCGCGACACAGGGTTTCCCTAGTGCGGGGCTATGTTGAGTGTGTGCGTTATTATTATTATACTGTTCTGTGCGGTCACTGCAATTTGAACTGCCTCGTGGCCGTGTGCCACGCGGTACTGATTTTCGGCCTGGCTTTGTCGACTCATTTCTTTTTAACAGGCTTCAAAAAAAGGAGGAGGTTCTCAATCCAACTGCACTTTTCTTTTTGTGAGTGTTACGCGAGCCCGACCAATACAGTACCGCAGTATTGATCTCATTTCAGTTGGAAGAAAATATTCCACGTCTAACACCCTTAGAGTTTTTTTAAAGACAAGTTAAAATTATTCTACACACAATTCAATTTTCACGATGAACATTGATTATAATAAGTTATACATACCACGTTCAGAAAGGGGCACTCAGAAAGCATGTTTAGCATATCCGGGAAGTAGCCCCCTACTTCCTCATGAACCGTGCCGACCAGCGAAATCTGGTGAAGAGGGCCCGAGCGGAACGTGCCTGCTGCGTATGATGATTGCACCTATAAAGTAAAGTGTTATTATTAATTTTGAGTAGGGTTGGTACAGTCACATGCATTCCTATACATATATGTATAAGGTTATTTTTAAAATACTGACAACCTCTCAGGACTATATTACTAAAATCATAAACCACTTTTGTACCATGACTTTTAAAAACATAATAAATTTGCCACAAATAAACTTTTCAGTTTTTGTTGTACAGTCTGACACTTTTTAGATCCATATTCAGCCGGTTGTGTGGAATGGCTACCATCCTGGTGTTCTACATTTACTTCTCTCATGAGTTTGGGTGTAATTTGTGGTTGTTTGTATGTCCATGGTACGCGCGACACAGGGTTTACGTAGTGCGGGGCCATGAGTGTGTGGTTATTTTATTTATTTGTATTTGATAGTAAGTTAAGTTCAAATGTCGAAATAAGAATAAGAAGACAATAACGCAATGAGTAATCAGATATTTTTGGCAAAAGAAGGATGGCGACATCCTGTGTATTTTGTGACCCAGTGTTTTTGAAGACGTGCACGTGACGTGAAAACCTATCAATACTTGTGATTCATTATCAAAGCATCAAAAAAGGTAATTGAGTACGGAGTAGAAGCAGAGTAGTCCTGTATTTCGCTTCAGATGTATGTTCGTAGTAACAGAAAACAACAAGTTTTTAGTTTGTTCCCAAAAATAATAAAGAACTTCCCGAATATTCCCAAATCTGCCAAACTCTGCCACATTTAATATAACTTATCATGTTCTGCAGCAACGAAAATGAATAAAAATGAAATCTGCCCAAATGGCAGAAATCTGCCACAAATGGTCACACCGTTCTCAATATCAATGTGACATTGACACTGACAAGAGGTCTCTTGTCAAAACGTTCCTTTGCAACTATCATTATCTCTCATTTAAATATTGTCTAAATATTTTTGTCACATTGTGTTTTATTTTTTGCTTCATGTCATTACTGTTTTATTGATTATTTCATTAGGTAGTTTTATAGCTTTAATGTTTTATGTGTGTACTATAAAATAACCAATACTTTAGGTTGGTAAACATTCAATCATGCTTAAAATGTAACACACGTACAAGAACGTTACCTAATCTATGGTCGAACTTAATCAATTGCGTTGTGTTCTTGCATCTATTCTAAAATACAATGTTTCACAATTTCGTTATTCCCGACTTCTAAAAATATACAAAAATATATTGATAACTAGGCATAAACTAAAACGCAAAATTATACTAGCATAGTCCCATGACCGGTTCTACGTCGTTAATGAGGAAGCATTCGCAATCCTTCTTTTAGCTTGTTTCACTATTTATCGATAACACTGGCGACAACAACTACACTCTATTTAAAATTTTATTAAAACTCTTCATCGTCTTCAAAACGATAGAATATGGTATAAAAAGACTTACAAAATGCCTGGAAAGGGTGACCATGACGTCTCTCGATTTTTTTTCTTTTTTTTATGATAACAAGTAACGGGACCTACAAGCCTTGTGGTAAGCGACACGCCTGTCCATAACAGTTGCAGTGCCACTTTAAATAACAAAGATCTGAGGGGCACTGCCGCTGCGCCCTTCACCTTGATACATAAGTTGACAAGTCCCATGTGCCTGTAATTTTACCAGCACCCATACCCTTCAAAACCGGAACGCAGTAATGCTCACATTACGGCTTGGCGGCAGAAATAGGTAAGGTGGTAGTACTTCCCTGGTCGAATTCTTTCGTAAGGAGCTCTACTGCTGAACATCGTGTAAAGTTGCAAGTTATCGTGTTAGCTCTAATAGTCCCATATTTACTGCTAAGTTTAGCCCCTCCCTAACCTTTAGTTATACGAGAAGGCCACTATTACCTGTTCAAGCAAGCCTGCGCAGGGAACTTATCAGTCATGTCACAGGTTACATCCAGTTCTCAAAAGGCAGGTGCCTTGGGTGGGCTCTAAAAGACAACTTATATATTTTGTGGTATATAATAAACTTACCTGTTGATAATACCGGCTGATGGTAGTTGTCTCGATATCAGACGCTCTGGCCAGCACTCCAGCCTTTACAGGCAGGTTGGGGTGCGTGTCAGACAAGTACTGCAGCAGGCAGGGAAAAGGCGCTGCAGCACCGCGGACCACGCCGCATACGAAGTGAGCCCAACCCTCGCTGTCCTCAGAGAACACCAGCTGGTGGGAGACGTCCATTCAATTAGCAATATTGTTTTACAAAGCAAAATATTTCTTATTTTTTTAAATTAATAATAACACACAATCATAACCCCGCACTAGGGCAACCCTGTATCGCGGGTGTCATGGACATACATATAGACAACCACAAATTACATCCAAACTCACAAGAGAAATAAATGTAGGCCATACAAATATTTCTCCCGGCACGGGAATCGAACCCGGGACCTCTGCGTGGCAGTCTGGCATGGTAACCGTTCGGACACGAAGGCAGTTGCCTTCCCAAGGAGCACACTTTATACGCCTCAAAACTATTATATCTATAAACAGTCTTATTATGGTATAGGTTTAGATAATAGGTCTCTGTAAATGGTTTTAGAAAAAAGAAATTGGTCTTATAGACTTATTTCACTCAAGTCAAAATTTTAAAACCTTCATACCAAACAATTTAATTAAGTGTGATCTCTCTTAAGATTTACTCTTATAGTACTTATTTTAAGTTCATCGGTAGATCAACTGATTATTTTTAGTAAAATTGTTCTATACACATCCTGTAGACTATTAATACTCTAAAAACTAGTGTTCTTTATTATTAATACAAAGAATGAACACTCGGAAAAAATTCCTTCGATCCGGCCGGATTCGAACCGACGTATTTTAGTAAGACACGGTAAGCTAGAACAAACTAAGTGGAATAATTTCACAAAAAATAATTGAATATCAATTCAATAAAATATAGTGTTCTTAAGTTTATTCTAGATATATTTCACTTAGAGACATTCGTGCGTCTTAAGTAGATTTTATTTAAAAAAATACTATAATTAGGGTTTTTACTCTATTGGACGTTGCAAGAGTTCATGCAAAATAAATAAAGAAAAGAATATTAAAAGATCTGGTGAAGATGGTGAACCTTAGATATTACGTCACATCATTCGATACATTAGTCGGAAATTCGCGTGCGAGCCGGGCATGATGCATTTTTGTTTGTTGACAAATAAATAAATATTGTGAAGTAATTCCGTGTTCAGAGTGATAAAAACAGTAGAAATGAGCGCGTAAACTACTGTATTTCAATGTTGTATATGTGTATTGTGCCGTCTATCAATAGAATACAGTGAAATCATTGTGTGAAATGTGGTTGGAGTGAAGAAATAACCTCAATTTTGTAATGAAAATTTTATTTCTTCCAACATAAGCTAGGTATGTCATTGAAATATACCTTATATGATAGGGAATTTATCCACCTTTCTAGTCATATATAACACATTCCATATAATTATAGAGAATAACGTTTTTTTTGCGACAAATTTGACTATTTAAATTGTTTTTTAGACCTTGTGTTTTGATTGCATAATACGTTCACCATTCCTATAACTTTTACTCCATAAAAAGGTTTTGTAATACCGTCAAAACTAAAAATCGATTAGAAACATCGCGTTTTGTAGACAAACATAAAAGCTTTATAGGAGTGAATATTCTTCTACAAGATCAACTACACTAAAGCAAGTAAAAATAATCTTTCCGTATTCTAAAGCTTTTCTATAGATAAAGCTACAGACAAAATCACCCAATAGTGTAGTGTTTTATTTTTAAAGGACTATGAAGTAGCCGAGAAAAATTTCTTTCCTTTATATAGTAGTATAGTAAGTCTAAGTTGAAATTAGCTTGAAGAAGCCTGGAACTTCTTGGAAGTGGTTAGTTTTGCGAGTTATTTTGTATATTTAAGATTTCTATAAATATTTAAAACCGAAAAGCGATAACTGTACTTTTATTAAGTTTATATTTATACATAAATATTTAAAATACAGCGAGCGCATTACTTTTATGACAGGTTTTTCATTACTTTTCACTATGTATTTAAAGTCGCACGTCAATTCGCGCTTTCCAAACGACTAATCATTGCGCGAAAAAGTCAGAAATATTATATCTAATTTCGCCATGTTGCAATTTTGATAGTTTGTATTTTGTAAGCTATTAAACTTGAAATCTATTAGTGTTAAGAGAATTGCGTCTTACGTTTGTAACGCTTTAGTTACTTTGGTTTTAAAATAGCATTACTAAGGAAACTATCATAGGGTATAAATTATCTAAAAACTGTCTACAAGACTAAATCCTGTTCTACAAATGGTCATGTAGCATTCTAGAAGAGTTACTTGAAAAAAAAAATCAGAATCACTCTTAACACTACCTACAAATAATTTCTCAAAGCACTCTTGTGATCTACTGATAAAGTTGTGCCCACTTTTACTTCAAATTATCTAGAAACCTTCTTCAAGATATTTTGAGGGAATTTGAACTATTAAAATGTACAATCGAATTAAATTCTATTAGATATCTTATAGTATATCTTTGGATATAGATATGCTTTGGGTTATACAGTCAGATTGCAATGCCTATTCTACAATCTAGACAGTGGTAGAAATTATTCGCATAAAAGTAGATTCAGATCTTAAAATCAATTATGATATACGGTATGGTATGATGGTAATATTCAGCTATCAATTTGCAAATGGACGAGTAATAATTCAGACAAACAAGAATAATTCAGTACTATTTTCTACAGAGGAGTAGTAGCCTAGTACACCTTTACGTATGTGAAATTATGTGCAAAACTAGTGGACAATCGAAGTACATTTAATTTAAAATTAAAATAGCAATAATCATTACCTTCAGGGACACCATAGTTTCCTGCTGACATATGAAAGGCTACCTATAAAAACAAAATAACAATGGCCCAAATACGTACCTTGAGGAACTCCTTGGCCAAGGCCTCTTGCTGAACGGCATTGAGCATGTCCACGTCGCGCTGGTGCAGGTACACTACACTCGCGCCGCCATTCGGGTGCGTCTCCACTCGCATTAGTCTGCATCACAAGTAATGTTACAGTGTACAGTTAATTCCATCTGATAGTGGCTATGTGGAGACAGCATTGTTTTGATTATTAGGTTCAAACATAGTATAACTAATACTTAGCACAACAAGATTTGAAATCTAGCATATTCAGTGATTGCACTGGCTCTTTCTACCAAAGCAAGCCAGGTACTGCTACTTCGCAGGAACATTTGTTTACCCAAAAGTTCGAGGAATTACATCTATTTGCGAAATTTTATTGAAATTGTTTAACCGGAATAACCGGATTCATCCCCTAGTTTGCCACCCTTAAAGGTGCCACCCCAATACTGAATGAGATACCCTCCTTTTAACAAAAAAGAATCATCAAAATCGGCTTACAAAGCGGCCGGAGTTATCGCGGAAGACAAATACAAAAAAAGAAAAAAAATACAGTTGAATTCAATTCAATTGAGAACTTCCTCTTTTTTTTAAAGTCGATTAAAAATGACACAATTCCAATTCTCACCTGTGATATTTAAGGCCCTTGACTTCAGGGTTCTCAGCAAGAGGGCCCCACATCTCAGTTGACGGCAACCCGACTCTGTCTCGGCGACATTGCACGCCGATGGAGCAGCGCTTGATGCGCGCACGGCGGCGGCAATGGTGGCAGGAAGATGATGATGACGAATGGTGACGAGATGATGAATGAGATCTGTGGAGATAACCGTATTTTGAGTCTTTTATTGCAGATTGCCCTTTTCGAGATCAGCCACAGCCTCCACATGTAATGAAAGTGATGAAAAAAAACATGGAAAAAACACTGCACCATCGTTTTCTTTTTAAATTTGGTTCTTTTACAATTAAATAAGACTCCAACTTTAAAAATAATAACAATAGCTCACACACTCATAGCCCTGCACTAGGGAAACCCTGGTGCAATGGATACACATAGATAAACACAATGTACACCCAAACTTAAGAGTGAAACAAATGTAGGCGATACAAATTTTTCTCCAGGCCCAGGAATCTCACCCGGGACTCATATGTGGCAGTCCAGCTTGGTAACCATTCAGCCACAGAGGCAATTAACTTTATTTTGGGAATATATAAATTAATTTAAATTATGTGACATTATGAACAAGTTGTGCACCTGATGATAAGTTACATGCCTGTCCATAACAGTTGCAGGGCCACTCAGAGCTTCAAATCGCAAAGATCTGAGGGGCACTGCCACTGCGCCCATCACTCTGAGACATAAGTTGACAAGTCCCAAGTGCTTGTAATTTCACCAAGAAGTCTTCATTTTCTTCATTTTAATCAGTAAGTATTTGTGGTCGTGTTGTTAACATTTACTAACAATGGTGTTGTTAATATTCACAAATATTTTTGTTTCATCTCAGAAAAAAAATGTTTTTTTTACAACACTAAATGAAAGTATACATGTTAAAACCTAATGTCTTATACCCTTATACATAACTGCGTTTTTTAACGCCATTCAGTGAATAGCAACTGCTATTAGTTGAAGGAGAATCCTTGTTAAAAGAAAGTTGCAAGTTCAATGTCTTACTGGTAATTTAAACTTATTATTAAATGTTGTGCAAATTAAGTCATTTTCATTATCACATAATAATGGAGCATTTCCAAGTAACCACAGTTTTGTTTATAGGTTGCTAACGAACGTTACAAGCTAACAAAGTTTATTGTCACATAGTTAATGGTTAATATCATTTAAAGAAGTCTGCAAATTGGAAAAACAGAAACAACTTTATTTACAATCACTCAGTTTCCTCAGAGACCCATTTTTACGCAGAAGAGGATGCTGGAAGAGTAATGCAGAGCAACAAATAACACATAAAAGCAAACAAACTTACCTCTCCTTCTCTTTTTCCTTTTCCCTCTCAATTTTGATATCGCTTTCTGTTTTAACCTGAACAGGCTCTGCTTCCCTTATACCCCTCATAGGTTTATAAACCGGTGAATCTCTCTCTTGTTTAATCTTCAATGGTAACTCCAAATTTCCATAACACGGTAACTCCCTTTGAGGTGTAGGCTGGAACCTTATAGCCTTCATTGCGAGACTCAATTGTGTTGCTGGTCGCAGTGGATTTGAACTCTCCAGTAAAATGTTGGACCGTGTCACTCTTGGGTACTTATACTTGAACATTGATCGTTGGAAGTGAGAATTGATTATTTGTAACTGTTTTGAGACTGATGAGTATATTCTCTTTGTCATGTCATCGTTTGGTATGGTCTTGGACATATATGTTTGCTTCCATGAAGCGTTTATTCCGCCAAACCAGTCAGTTTTCAAGGGCTCTTGATATATATCAACAATACCATAGTCTTTATCAGGATAATTAAATAACAGTGGGTTTTTCACGATCGGAGACTTTTGCAAAACTTGCAAGTTTAATATTGCTGCATCTCCATACCCTCCAGAGTCAAACACAGGCCATATCTTACTTAGTTTGTTTGGCCGTGGGTTCTCACCCCAAACGCAGACGTCTTTTGTGTCATCACTAAGTTTGCGTTTTTTGCCTGGAAAAAATGACAATAATGAAATTAATAAGAGACTGAAATTATTACAAATTATGTTTCGAAATAAGGGAAATAGATTGTGTTATTTACTCTTGTTTTGTCTATTTTCTCCCTAGCTCACCCAACTTAACATGTCCACCACTTTTATTATGATGCTTACTTACATAGACAGCCTCCTAAAGCCGTATGTGCTCAAGGTTCAGAACCACTTTAAGTGCATTTAATATATAATGCTAATGTGGTGTCACCAGTCAGTTACTTATATACACTACAGACCTTATTATTAGACAATAAGAACTATAAGTTTCTCATAAAGCCTTCACTTCTAATGCAATAGGAAAAAAGAAAAATTTTTTTTTAGAAATGTACAAATCTTAACATCTAGAATCTGTTCAGCAGATGTTGGTTTATGCATGTGAAGCAACACATGTGCTGTTATGACAAATAGAACTGTGTTTCAATAAAGAATTACAAACGTTTTTTTAGTAATTACAAATTGGTATATAAGAAACTACCAACAATCACTAAATTAACTACAAAATATACAATTCAGTTCATATTGTTCACAATGATATAATAATAACGAAAATCATGTATTCTCAGTGGTTTTTCTGGGAAGTACCAAAGTGATTAATTGGAAAAAAACACAAGAGTTAGTGGAAAACAGTGTATAAAGCTTTTTTAACAATAGAAAGTAATATCGAGATTCCAACAAGGTCAGATGTGGTGCAATTGTCTTGAGTCATAGGCAACTTTCAGTTTGGAATATCATAAACCTTTTCTTGTCATAATGTAAAGTTCCAGAAAGATATTAGAAAAAATTCTCGTCTTTAACGAGAAGGGAATGTTTATAAACAGTTGTGACCTCCATTTAAATGATGTAACTAAGTGATGAGGTTAAGATTCCCACCAACATTTCGTGATAATAATCAATAAAGTCTACTGTTTGGTACGAAGAAAACTGAGAACGTTATGTTGATGTGCGTAAAGTAGATATGTAGTATACCTTTTAGTTCAAGGGATTGCCCATGTTTCAAATTGGTTGACACACTTGGATCATATCCCAATTTCGACAGTTTTCGATAGTCATGAGTCACGCGGCGACGTTTAGTGCCCTCGCCGGCGTCTCCCTCGCCATTCGAAGCACTATAATCATCAGCGAAATCTCGATTTTCACTAACTTTTACATGGGATTCTGTGGCTCCGTTAGACGCCATTGTTTCAACGAGAAAGATGAAATCTCGTTAAAATAAACGCTACGTATTACTCACAACATCAATATTATAGACAAATGCAACATTGATAACACAAATCACCTATAAAACCACACAGAAAGTTAGGAAAATCTGTAACTCTGAATAAAAAACAACTTGCGACGCCATTTAGGCTACCTCACACTTTTTTTGACAATTTTTTTGTGCCAATCTTGCGTATGACGTGGAGCAAAGGTCGCACGTAATTCAGCCTTTGAAATCTGAAAATATTTTTCATAACACAATAGTTTACTTACTTGTTTGCAGATAAACTAATTAGTTACATTAATTTTAATTTTAACTTGTAATAAATTTATTTTCATTAAATTAACATAACACACAAAAAATTGGAAATAAATCGATTACAGCACCATCTAGTATAGACGTTTGAAAGCACTAGAACATGAAGCGCATTCAGATACTTCTAACACCGCACAATTTTTTATGATGTCTCCAAAGATGACGCTAACGATACCTTTATTTGAAGAAATTGTTTTTGTAAAGTGAAACTGAACAAAAATTTAAATGTTTACATGAATGAACAGGGAATGCCACGCTTAATTTCCTTGACTCTAATTACTAGAGCTAATCACTGCGACTGAATATTCTGTTCTTAAGAAAATTTTAATAAAGCAGAGTATTTGGGTACTTAGATACGTACGTAACAACAGCAGTAATCAGTTGTTGCCTCTAAGAATTTGAAATTTACATCTTTGTTTTCGGTAGTATATTCTGTTTTAACACAAAATACATTATATACCTACGTAAGAATCGCGGAGCTGCTATGTAAATTTATACCTTTGCCATTTAATTTTCGAAACACTACAATACATAGGTTTATAGATAACTATAACAAGGAAGCTTGTACAAAACTAGAAAATTGTCACTGCAGAACAATCGATACATTGAGGAAACCTAGTTTCATCGAAAATCTGTTAACATAAGTTCGAATTTCTGGAGGGTGGCGTGTGTGCACAAATGTGTTGTTATGCACAAAATACGTACTAAATATCAATTGAGAAATAGGTACCTACCACATTAGCAGGTGGCAAGTCGTAACGCTCACCGCATCTGGCGAACAGATAACAATAAACAAACTAATGTGTGCTTTTACGTTATCTAAAACGTTGTTTTGTAATCTTTTATTTTATAATCAATAACTGCCGAATGAATTATGTAACAGTTTTGTTGTTGTAGGTACGTTACAGGCACATGTCTACTTAAAAAAAAAAGATTTTGTAAATCCTGTTCTTTAGTTAGAGTAATGTAAATTGTGTAAGTAATTAAATTTTAATAAATATTGTAGGTAAATTGAATAATTAATTAAATTGATACCCAAACTTGTTTAAGGCCGCTGAAAGCATTAAAAACATCTTTTGTTTTTTAAGTAATTTTTCTTGTGGCAGAAAAACAATTTGCACGAACTCTGAGACAACCCACAGTAGTAATAAGTTACCTTTGTAATGTCTTTTACAAATTACCGCTTTAGCATATTTGCTAAATATTTAAATTTAAAAATTAAAGATGCTACCAAAACCGTAAAACACTTATTTACACTTCACGCTGCGCTGTAAGTGAATGAATAGTTATGTACCAATAATGCATGAAAAAATCGATAAGTAGGTACTTCACCTTTCGGGCATATTATAGAATTATGTTTGACACGTATTTAAATTATCCTTTTAAATTTGCAAAAGCAGCAGGGAAAACAGTATTTTCTAAACGGTCGCCTTTTTTAATAATATTTTTTTAATATTATAGGGTCACCTATTTCTCTAAGACATAAAATAAATTAAATCAATCGATATTTTAATCTGATCGCAAAAAATGTTTGATTTGTATAAATTAACTTTGATAGTTTTATCTTGGGCATCAAAACTAAGACAAATGAGCATTACAAATAAAATTTAGATATTTGTTTTTGAAACTAAGTAAATGTTGAACCTAAAAACATGTTCGGAAACGCAAGCAAATTGGCTTCTAACACGCTCACTTCGCTCACTCGACTCGTGTTGCTTTTTCATTACTAGCCTAACCTATTGAATGGAGGGCGTAATCAAGCAACCAAGATTTATTAGGAGATCAATATTAAAAGACCTACTACCAATAATAAAAAAAAGGATCAAATTTTATTTTTGAATAGCAAACATTAATTTATTAAGCTTAAACATAATAATAGAATTACCTTGAATGCTGTCCATTTATAATTTATCCGTAGAGCAACTAATATAGATATAATTTAATGGATAATTAATATAAAACATTAAAAACATATCGTTTGTTTAAAAAAGTGCACATTTACAATAGATCAATAACATCTTTGAGTATCAAATAACATTATCCCATTATGTTTGAGCCCCGTGTTCCGTGTTACTTTGATACTGTTTTGAACAAAAACTAATGTAAATTTTTACGATCGTCGTTTTGCACTATCCCGTTACATATCTGTTACTCTATTCATTGACAATTATATGGACGTCGGGTCCGCGCTAAAAAGTGTCCGAACTTATAGGGCGTTAAAATCGTATACAGAGCGTCATTCACGCTTTAGTCTTCGTTTGTTCGACTGACAGCGAAGCAAGCAAAATTAGACAGTACTGCGATGACATTACAATTTAAATTCAACGTTTTAGCTTTTTCATATTCCTTTACATGTCACTACGCTTAAATAGGTTGACTTGGGACTTTTTTTCGTGGTTTTTGTATTAGACCCGTCGTCCATTTACTTGTAAGTCAATGACTCCATTACATAAAAATTTCCTGACTTTAAAACAATCCTATACAATAAAATATTTCATACATTTGTACAGAGCGAAACTTCGGTTCTTACTGTCTATGTAGGTGCCTAGCAATTGAGAAAAGCAGAAAATTCGAAACATAAAGAAAAGTTTTATTTACAACATTTACAATTTACATTGAACGAGAATAATCAAAACGTTTTTCATCGATTGCTATCTCGCTTACTCTTACGTGCTTGTGTCACGGCCGATAGAGACAGCAACATTACTTTCAAATTACTATCTCATAGATAGAGACAATTTTTTTCCTTAGCAATGTAAAGACGACAAAATATCAGAACAAGTTTCAGGGTCATAAATAAGTTACCAGCGTAAAGTTATTATTATTTTTGTAATACATGTTTGAAACTTGATTACTTCATGTGCTATTTATACAAACCTGACAAGTTTAATGATTGTTTGTTCATCGCCGACCTTGACGGTTCGCGAAAAATAATTGCTAACAACGCTTTAACATAATATAGGTAGGTATTACGTATGTATTTTGTAAGCAACATACTGTACTAATAACTGATAATAGAAATTAAAATTATAGACGAGGATTTATATAGATCTGTCTATAAATGACAAAGATGTTTAACGGCGTTATAGTTATAAAAGGTGAATGTAAAATTCGATGTAGAATGATAACAAATCGTTGCTAGGCAACCAATGATGGCATAGGAAAACAACATTCCTTTTAATGCTCATTATTAAGGCTTGCTCTGCCCAAGGCCTGCTCCCTTAATTGGAATTTAAATAGGTAAGTAGGTAATGGGTTATGTAGAAGTAATACTTACCTAGCCAATTGTTACAAAGTTTACAAAATGCCTATTGATATGTATGATTTAGGAATAAAAATAGGTAAGTGTTTGCATCCTATCAATATTTACTGCTAGATGGTAACTTAGAATAAGAACGCATAGAAACCTAGTCCGCACACGCTAAGTGAGGCAAATTGAAGTGCTCCCTATGGGCCTACACGAGCGGGCGGGCCTTCAGTGCTCAAGGTCAACTTGCACCGCGAACAGCTCCAGAATTTTAGCTAAAAATTACGAGATGTGCGGTAAATGAGTGTAAAAATACGTCAGACAAACATAAAATAGATACTAAGATCACATTCCACAAGGAAGTAACGCGTTTCAACTTGTATTTTTATATAAATATTCACTAAAACCTAAAATTAACCTACTACTAAAACTAGCCTACATGAATTTGATTTTTACCTCGCTTGTGACAATTCGTTTGATATGAAACTATCATTCTATGCGTTATTATTCTAAGGGTGGTAGGTAATGGTAGATGAAAAGACACAAAATCGTAACATTTTATTTGATATTAATTTATCACGTATTATATCATCTAGCATCTATTTCCGATTCTGAACTTGAATTACCACCAGAACTTGAATGTTTGCAATCTCTCTCTTCAAATCAGAAAGTCACTAATGATGACAGAGTTTTACAAATAATTAATTACTGGTCATTTTTATGTATATTTTAGGTGATTTGAAACTTCTGTTGAATAATATTTATTATTCAGAAAACAATGACTCATTTAGGCACTGTAAGGTCATGCCAATAGAAATAAAGAACAGATATTTGATAGTGTTGGAAAATTACTATAGGATAATTATAAAGTTAGGCTTAAGAATAGGTAGGCAAAAAGAGTAAGGCAGGGTAAACTAGTGCAGTTTAAAGCAATTAACTATTATGGAAAAGGGTGTACACGTTATTAAGTTCCAAAAATATATAACGACATTGATTGGCTAAGGAATGACATACAATTAAGTAAATACGCACTAAAATGTAGGTTAAAGGCGTACTTGTTAACGTAATTATTATATTTTATTTAGTAAGTATAGTTAATACTATGTAATATTATAAAATACATAGTAAAGTAGGTATAATTAAGCAGGAGTGCACATGTCGCCAACAAACTGTAAGGCACTTTGGCGACTTGTAGTAAATAATTTACCTGCTGTATTTTTCTTGAAATAAAAAAAAATATACAAGACTTCAAGATGTAGAAAATATTAAAATTGTGGTAACTGTGAAAGAGTCTGACATAAAAACCCTAAAAATCATATGTTTTTGTTTGTTGACATTTATTCTACATGGAATTTGGCAAGAGTTATAGATATTTATTATAACAATATAACATTATAGACGTGAAAAAAGGTGGCAT